TCTTTTTCAAAAATACGATACAGTTGTTGGACTGTTTACCGAGTTACAAAAGACTTGTAGCGTGCTCAAAGAATAATTTCTGGTATTCAGAGTAGCAGTAAGATATAGCAGGACATTTGAAATTAACTGCAGCCTCAAGTTTTCTTTTACTAAATGTTTCTTATATTAATATGAAAATGGGATCTTGCTATATTTATTAGCATATAGCTTTTAGAGATTTTGTTTTATGTTCTTTTGATTTTAATCTATTTCTTGGATTGCATCGCTCTACTATAGAATTATGTACCTTTGGTTGTAATAGTGATCTTTTTTATTACAAATATAAATTAACTATCAGCTGTTTCCTTTAGGGCTTTTTATTATTAGTTTGTACTGCCTAGTGTTACTTTTGAGCAGGTATCTAAAACTTTTTGAAAGAGAGATTTTTTATTAATAAAAACAATATTGGTCACATAGATAATTTTATTTTTTTGAAGACATTTTATCTTATAAATGCTGTGCGGTGTATGCTTTAAAATCTTGTGCTATCTCTTGAATTATTTCGTTCTTTCTCTTTAATCTCTTTAATCTACACAACAAAACTAAACCAAATCTACAGTGAACCTTATTTTAACTGCGAGCTACCCAGCTCTCCAGATTCGTATCATAATGTTGTTATGCAACGTTTGTACTCCCGAATCGTGTTAGGATTGTTTCCTTAAAACGTGCCCATATGTACTTGTATTAACTACTTTTTAGAGTCGAGGACTCACGTGCTTATCGTGTGATCTCTTCTGTTACTTCTTTATATTTTGTTTAAAGGTTATTCGCCTTTTAATTAAAGCAAGCCACCATTTAACAGCACGTATGTGTGTGTACGTACATTAGTGTACGATAGATTAAATTATTGCTTCTAAAAACGATTGACGTTGAATCAGGTTCATAATTGGTACCATAATCTTAACTAATATTATAAATTCGAGTTTGTTTGTTTGCGACGCATTAGCTACTCAACAGAGGACCGAGGACTTGAAAAGAGCATAAAAAGGAGTATGCCTAAAAAGAACTAAATTGACTGCCAAGATCCACATTCACACTTGTGAATTCTCAAGCAAAAGCTAAATTAAAACTATTTACTCTAACTACTAAAATAATGGTTTGTGCTAATTACTGCTACATCATTTTTCCAATTTTATATTTTATGATTCTTTTTCTATGTTCCATTTACACGGATAAAAATAAGTACTTTATCACTTTAAGGAGTAGTAACCACTAGACGGTATAAAATTTTATGGTATTTTTATTACTTTTTCAGCTACAATAGTCTCGTATATAACTGGTAGGATCGTACAATATTGTGTCATAACGGGCCATAAGTTCCAGACAAAACGAGTGTCGCTAACGTGTTCACTGTTGAAGGAAAAGTTAAATGTGCGCTACGCGGCACCATGAGATTTTATTGTAATTCTATACCATGGCCGCTATCAGACATTTAGCACATGTTAATTTTGACCTAAAATAAAAGTAGCGATACTTAAACGGTAGAGGGAAAAGAATTGCAATTTTAGAAAATCTATAGGAGCATTAAATGTAATCATATTAGCGCAGTATTTCTTGCTTCTTAAATAACAAATAACTTTGGTAATGTTAAAAAAGAGTTTCTTGTTATTACCCTGTATTTTTTAATTAAATATTGCACTTAACAAGCCAAGATATTATTGCGTATCCAAAAACCTCTAAGACAAGAAAGTAAAAAAAAACTGCGGGAGTGCCGACAGAATTGAAAACTTGACAGTTTAAAATTTTTTGATCATAACAGTTTTTTTTTTGTTTTTTTTTTGTTTTTTTTTTTTCGATTCGAAAATTTCCGACATAATTATATACATCTATGTTCTATATATATACACAATATATTGAGTTTTACAATTACAATTTAAGTATATAACGTGGGAGGGCCATGCTTCGCACTTATAGGCTTGCTCAAACGGGGGGATGCCACGGACTTGCAGAAAACTGGTGTTAAGCAATTCACCAAATATTTATGATTATCGGCGGCCCAACACCCTTCCCTCTCTAACTCTCTTCACTCAAAGGCGCACTTGTGTCTTTTGAGTTGTAAGTGTCCACGAGTGGCGGTAGTCACTTAACATTCGGTGACCCGTCTGCTCGAGAACGTCAAGCACATCCGACATGGATAAATTGCTGATATTAAAAAAAAAATGCCAACGGTTTAAACAATAAACATTACTAGAGATCGCCTGTTGACGGAAAGCTGACCGTTATTAAGATTATTTTTAATTTATTCACTTGGTATGTTCCTGTACGGAATAATGTTCCATGACAGATAAATCTAGAAAAAAAATCAAGAGTGTAGCTTGATGTTTAAACATATTCAGTGTTTCTAAATATTTGCTTTCTGTACCTATTTTATATATGTATTCTAAATTAGTAGTCCTTTGCGCGGAATCGTCTGAAATGCATACAAAGAATTCTCTTTAACGTATGAATATATACATTCTATTCTAAATGTGGGTAATACCACAAAATACATATTAATCATCAATTTATAGATCGGAATCTTGAGTGCTATTACTATCAAAAGTATGGATATGACCAAAAATTCCCGGAAATCGGTACTTTGACCAAAACCTTTCGGGAATTAGAATTCTGAATGATAATAATAAATAATAATAATAAATAATATTGAATCACATTCACACAACGCCATCTAGTCCTAAACTAAGCAGAGCTTGTACTATGGGTACTAGACAACTGATATATATACATATATACTTTTTTTTTGTTAAAACATACTTATTATACATAGAAACACCCAGACCAAATCAAACATTAAATGTTCATGCACACAAATGTTTGACGTGAGCGGGAATTGAACCCGCGACTTTTGGAATAGCAGTCCGTTACACAAACCACTACGCCATTCGGTCGTCAAATGACGATTCTTGTGCTTCTAAACAACTTTTTTTTCTATATAATTCATACTTCACGCAATATAAATAGATGTCGTATTTTTTTTTATAACTAAATAAAACAATCATTTAATAGGTACCTAAAGTTTATTTTTATAAAAAAAAATAAGTACATAGCGTAACAGGACCATGTAAAAAAATTTGCAAAACCAATAATAAACAATCTAAAACAATATAATATTGCTTGGGAAACCCAATATCTAATGTACTACTATATATCAATATCACTAGTATATCTTGACATGCATAATGTAGGATATATCAGTTTGGCCTAGAAAAATGTTAGTTTAGTACGAAATCTGGTTTGACTTTGGTTAAGGTATTGTGTACTTCCGTAAGGTAAACTTCCGATGAAAATGTCTAATGTCGGATGTCTAAAATTACTTATAGTAGCGGTACGCCATGATGACTGTTTGGACACATTAAAGTACAGCAATTTGAGGTCACTGTACTACACAATAAACATCCGCAATAGTACAACAATAAGCTACTTCAACTTGATGAGAAACTTGATGAGTGGACAGACGTCAAAATAGCCATGCGTGCGTGCGCTGCGCTTGCTGCTTTATTTTCAGATATCCAAAGATTGTTCATAGCCATATAGCCTCAAAATCAAATATATAAACAAAAATCTCACAGATAGAAAGAGCCCTCGACAAACCGAAGTAAGCGAATGACACGAAAAGCACCCAACATAAGCCTCACCGAGAAATAGAGAGAGATAAAAGATAGCTCTCGTTGTTGCATCGGTTGCACTTCTTTGAAGCATAGCCACCAGCCATAGGATTTCCATTTCTCTCGCACTCGTGGATCGCCGAATGGTGCGCACTGTGTGAGCGAGACGGCAAATATCTACTCTCTCATTCGTATAGAACCTTTTACTATTTCAGGAGATTTTGGCTAATCCATACGAAAATAATTTTCAATGAGACTTATTGAATTATTTATTTATGGATGTAAATAGAACGTCAAAATTTCGCTAGAAATATTAATCTATTGTTAAAAGAAATATAGTCTATCTAGTCGAGGTATTTTAGTCATAAAATAAAATCAATTTCATGTTTAGAATGTTTTCATTATTTTCTGTTGCACTTTTAAAGATGACCCTATTCTATTCCTTTGTAAGTCACGACTGTTTAAATCTAAACGCTAAATACTAATTAATAAACGTATTCCTTAAACAAACGCGATTTCCACACATTTTAAATAATATCAAATATTTTAAAGTCTTACAATAATTACCGGAATCCCATACTGGGAATATCGTCATATCCATACTAGTGATATCGTCTCAAATAGCTTCCAAATTCCGTTCACTCATCACACACTGCATGCCGATTTGAGCTATCGCACCACAAAACAGCTATTTGTAGCCAGTACGGATACGATTATTGCTTTTGTAAACGTACTGAACTTATTGTTGTAGCCCACTGTTCACGTCGTTTCCAATTTCGAAATCTAAGTTTTAATTTCGTAAATCATATATCGAACTTATGAATAAGGTTAATGAGTCGTTAAAAGTTTTAGTTATTGTTTATATCAGCTTAACAACAATTGGTTAATGCGTGCAAATGCTTTCCGCCCACGGCTATTTTTAGTGCTTTTCCACACGTGTTCACCCTCTCCGCGGACCGTTAAAATGATGTTTTGTCGGATATTCTTTTCGAAACAGCTGTCGTACTATTTCCGACACGAGGGGAGTGATCTTATTCTCTATATAAATTTCTGTGGAGTTCTGTTGATAGTATTTTATATCTTCAGCGTGAACAATATCTGTTCATTATTATTTTCTATGTGTATATTACAAATCCTAAATTTATGTGAATTGCAACGGGATTGCATGTATTCTTATTTGTGTCTAAATATTTACTTTATTATTTTATTAGAGATATCACTGAGTAATAGATTCTGATAATTCATAAGAGTAGGTAACATAGGACCTATGTTTCCATACTATTTTATACTATTCCAATAAAAAAGTAATCATTACAGTACATACAAACCGTCTAAATTGTTGTTTATAATATTGTGATGCATACAGAGAGAGGAGCCAATATGAATTGTTTGAGCTCGCGTAGAGGCCGCTATGAATTTAATCTAGCGGAGCCGAGCGCCCCGGCGTACTATCCACCACAATTACCTTACAATCCTGATTTCATCGAGGAACCAATCGATGATGAGCCATCAAGTTTTGATCCTGCCTATGCGTGGAGCACCTACGAAAATAAATGTTATATTGGAAATACTTTTGAAAACAATGACGAATGGGGGCAAGCACGGCGCTCCCTGTACGAAGGTGTCAACTGCATGCCGGTGAGTGCGCCCACCTGTGTAGATCGCGCCGCACGTTACCCATACATGAATTGCGCCTGATTGTTGTGTGTTGTGTGTACATAAACGAAACATATAGCGTTTTCTTAAGCCAATAACTTTGTTGTGTAATTAACATATTACGCCTTTATTACTCACATAATAATGTTTACGTAATTAAAATTAAATACCTGTTTCACCTAATAAACCTCGGATAAAACCGGGAAGGGTGTCTTGACTGCATCAGGCGCATATACTGCGATCTATTTCCGGGCGCGGGCGTCGGCCCTATTCGTGTAAGCCTGGCTCATTTGGAACTAAAACATGCGCGAGCTCGGCCGCGGGGGCTCACTCGTGGCTGCTACCATAGCGGCATTACATAATCGAACCGCAGTCGATGAAAAACCTCTGCCTATCAAATCACGATCAACCTCCGCCGAGATCAGAAATGTAGTGCGTGCTATAAGAGAAGAAAAATTTTGTGACGATAAATCTCGAAGAGCGTCCTGTGTTAGTGAACGTCCCTTGTCCACTGCATCTGAAACCTCAGAACGTGATTCAGCGTCGGTGCAGTCCAGCGAGGAACCGCCCCCACAAGAGAGTACGTACCTAGCAATCTGTGGACGAGTCACTGACGTAGCATATAATTGGCACACTGCCAAACTTTAAAATAGAGAGACGTAGGTGACTCGTACCGAGAGCTTGTCGCGCAGTGTCGCATTTGCAGAGCCTCATGTCCGACTGCGAATATTTAACGGAACCCTTTGATGAGGAGCAGGAGCGTGCGGTGGCGGGCTACGTGCACCCCGCCGTGCGCTCCTATATGTACTCGCCGATGGGTGAGTTTGTGTCGCTCATGAGGCTCCTTCGCGTTCGATATGCTTTTCATCGCTTATCTCGTGACAGGCGGTGATTCGGACAGCCCTGATGAAGCAACAGTGAAATGCACTACTTGGTCGGAAGGTGCGGTAGCGGCGCGAATTGAATCGTCTGAATCAGAATCCAGTTCGTCTAGTGAAGGTGATTCGGAAGAACGCGAGTATGACACCCAAGGTGCGGATGGCGATTATCGCACTTTGACGCCTTGTAGGCGTTTGGATAATTCCACTAGACGGGATGATAGTTTTAAATGGTTGCCAACTAGTAACATGGATGACGAGTTAGATGACCAGATTTCTCAACCTAGAGGTGAAGAATATTCAGCAGCAAGTTTGGAAAGGCGTCGTCGCACGCCGGGTGATCGGTTGGAACGCGACCGCAAAACAAGGTCATCGCTAAATTCCAAGCCACCACAACATCCGGCAGGAGTGCGCGCTTCGCCACGCCCGCGACGGCCACGGAATGACGAGACTCCTCCAGATCTTCAAAGACGATGGAACTCTTATGAACACTTTCGGTGGCCGATACCAGGTCCAGAGGGAGGGTGGTGGCCGCCGATGTGCTGGTGCCACGGACCTCCTGTTCCACCACCATGTTACATGCACGACAGAGCTTGGCCATCGAATCCCTCGCTTCCGCCTATGCCCACTAGAAATTTTAAGGTACGGGTGTAATGACAAAATAAATCTTCTATTTGGAACTTCCTAAAGATATTTAACTCAAGTAACAATTTACCTCCTACTCGTAGAATTGTGTCGATGAACCAAGGATTTTATTCTAGTGCGTTAATTGATGTGGGTGAAGTAATTTTAGTTTATTCAGTTACACTACTCATTGTAATAAAGACAGACATATTATGTATGTACATTTGTGTATAATAAAATTAACAAGAATTTTCTATGAAACTAACGCTTCGACCAAAGATAAAGAGTAATTCCTTAAATATGAAATAAGAGTTATAAAATAATGTTGTAAAAGTGTTTCAAAAGTGATAACATAAGTGTGACTATTATTTCAGAATGATGCAGAAGACCGTGTGCGTAGGCTGGAGGCTGACAAGGAGAGCCTCCAGCTACAAGTACAAGTGCTGTCGGAACAAATCTCTGCGCAAACAGAGAAGATGGCAGATCTTGAACGTGCATTGCAAGACTCGCGACAAAGACTTGACGATGCTGATCAGAGATTACAGAAGGTAAAACGTTTTGTTTCTATTAATGAACAATGAAGTTTTGTGCATTGTACGTAAAGGAAAGTTTAGTGGAACAATCTTGCTTGTTTCACAACTCTAGAACGTGATTCTCACTTTACAAGTTCGTGTTTATCGCTTGTTAGTTACCGGGAGGAGTTTAATCTCGTTTATAAAATTTATAATGTATATGAAAGGCCTACAAATAATTAAGGAGTTGCGATATAAATCCAGTTACTAGAGGCGTAGTCAGACATACTGTTGGTTTATTTGCAGTTTAATTGATAAATATGATGGCACGACTGTAAACTGTTTAAAATTCAGCACGGCCTGGACCCCAGTGGAATGAAGCTATTGAATAATCATGATCGGTGTGGGTAGCACAATATCTTGCGCGCGCCTCAGCCGGTGCCCGGTCTCTTTATCGCTATTCAGCTTTGTGCGTCACAACACACAAAATATATACGACACAATCACTTTGAACTGCAGATTAAATGATAACTCATACTACATGCCTCCAACGAGTATTAACTACGGTTTTAGGGTTAACGAATTTCGCTTCAAAACTTCATGAACTCGCTTTTAATTAAGGATTCGTGTTCCCTTTTGTTAATATAATTAGGATTTCGCCGAATAGAGCTACTGAAAAAGCTTCCGTTTAATGTAATATGTATTCTGAGAAAAATAGGGATATTATATATATATATAGGTATATAATATTCTGTATTATTTTTATTTTCATACAAAATAAAGTAAATGATTGTGTTAAGAGTGGATTACGTCGGTTGCGTTCTCTATAGGGTTGTAACAATCGACGCAGGTATATCGTAAATCTGAAACTTGGGGGATCAAAAGGACTTCACAACATATTACCAAAACTTTAGTATTCTGCTAGCTTAAATTGTGCGGGTCTGCCGCACTGCTGTTCTGAACAGTCCTATTAATTCGAGTAGCTCAATTGCCAGAGATGACAACATATATTATGATTAAAATTTTATTTTAATGAAAAATTTCAGTTATATCAAGTGTATATAGTTGTATCACATAGTGAGTTGTAAATACCATAATGACCGTGGCTGCCGTGGCTGGCCATCTGGTGTGATTGTAACTTTAGTTCTAATAATAAACACACTGTTGTACCGCAGAGTAAGGTTCTACAATAATGAAATAAACAATCTGCTTTTAGACTCGTAAAACAGGTGCTACGTCATTCACCCTCTCGAAAAAAATAATATTCGCGCGTGTCCACGCACATATCCATATTCATATCTATGTTAAATTGAGTTTATGAAGCAAATTATTTGACCATATTTATGTGTGTTTCGTATTTAGTCAATGTAAATGCTCTGTGAATTTCGTTATCTCAACGCGTAAGCGTCCGGGCATGATATTTACGTGACATGTCGACTGTGATTCCAGAATCCAGATGTATGTCTATCGTGTCACTTATCTGTTCGATATGTAGTAAATGTGTCGAGTTCTATTTATATATAACATAACCTATGTTATACCTATACTTAGCTGCTAATAAGCCATTTAAGTTGCGCTACAAATTGTTATCGATCAATAGCTGATGCTAACGCTATAAATGCGACTGGGATAACAATACAGATTGCTGTTTGCTACCTCCACGGCATAACCTCTATCTAATACGTCTATTTGATTAAAAAATCTGACTCAACTCGACGTTGGTATGCGGTATTTAATAATGCTTGCCAGTGTTCGCCTGTATACATTATTTTATAATTAATATAAGCAATCGTAAAATATAGGCTATTATGGAAATGAAAATAAAATAATGTACTTTTTTTTCTGATTTATTATAGAGAAACTTTTCTTCTAATAAAATCCTCAGACACACTGAAAATATAAAACAGCAATACAATGCATGAACAAAATTTTATTCTTCAAAAAATTTACATCTAGAAAAGAATCTGTACCTAAAAATAATACCAATAAGTGGTTTTCGAACGTAGAATTCTATCTACACATAGCTTAATATTACAAATACTATATCTAGCTGTTTGCGAGTTTAAGTAAGAATATAGACAGAAATCTAAAAATAGTCCTGTAGATGTACAAGCTCAAGACAAAAGATTTTATTAAATAGTTTTTACCATCGGAAGCAATATTATATTGTTAACAGGAATAAAGTAAAATATTAATTTTTAAATATCATTTTATTATGCGAAATATTTACCTGAAGAATATTTACGAATCATAACTTCAAGGATGCACTAAGTGTTATCTTTTTATAATGTGGTATGTCGTGTTAAATTTGCTCATGAGTCAAGACAAGCTATGATCGAACAAAACAAATGTTAAATAAGAACAAAGTAACTGTCAAAAACAATGTTCATACTTCATCTAGACAAGTTGCCTACAACCTATCTATCGATATGATGGATAGGCCTCTGTACTATCTGCGAGCTATTTACAATGCGGTAGTTTTAGTCTGAGTATTAAATAAAGTTATAGAATATATTTTTTTAACCTCTATGAAATATTCGCCAAATGGTGTTAATTCATTCCTTTCGTATTATATAACTTTAGCATTTCGATATTGATAAAATAATATTTTCGAATGCACAGATTTTCTTTACGAAGTTGATTTGACTAGGTATTCTGAGCCTATTGTCGATAGCTAAATAGTTATAATGATGACATCAAATCATGCATCACTTAAATCTATCGTGCAATAAAACCGTAGTTCTTAAATCAGTTTGGGAAATGCCACGTCCTTTTAAACCATACAAAACACGCAAGGACGAGGTAGTTTCCAGATTGTTTCAGACTGTCTTGGGAGTTCCTAAATCCCCAGGGTATGTACACAGGTGGCTTAATCAGGACCTTAAGGTAGCGCATATCCTGCATTATATATTTTACTTAAATTCCTTTCTTCACGGCATCTACGAATCGACAATTGACATCAAATAATATATGTACCTAGTTGTAGGTATGTGAACGAATAAGACAAAACCGTTAAGGGTTTTTTGATTTTTAGGCCAGGAATCCTAAAAAATGTAAAAGAGGTAAGTAAAACAAACAAGATTTTTGCGCAACGTGAAATGAAATTCCATTACGCAAGAAAAATGGAGCGCCTCTACGTTGATGGCGTGCCACAGAGTAATGTACAGTAAAAGTAAAATAAACACATCGCTTAAATAGTTCTAATTCTGTAGTACATTTACGTTCGCGGCAATGTGTACCGTTAACACATCTCGCTCACACTACTCCGATGCGCCTTTCTTGTTAAACAACCGGATACCGAAGAGCGACAGCTATGTACTATAAAAATCTGCTTTGATCCAAATTTAATTTGGTTCAAGTCGTGTTTAGACGCTCGTATTCGAAAGCTTCTATTAACTACGCTCCATTGTGACAGCTCAATTTTGGTGTCCTGGTTTTTAATTTCCCATCTACATACTTAGTTTCAATAATGTAGTTACTCACTATAATAAAATATCAATAGAGTGCACGGATGGCGTAGTGGTTTAAGCGTTCTACTGCGCTGAGTGTTGTGGGTTCGATCTCCACATGGGACAACACTTTGAGTGACCCACAAATTGTTGTTCCGAGTTGTTTGTAAAGTCCCCCGCGACTCAGGATATATTCACAGTGTGGGAGTTAAAAACATACTTGTACATAGACTGATTTTAAGAATAATAATTGTTCAAATTATTGACTCTTTAAATTCCAAGTGATTGCATGCATTTGCATTTGCATTTTTAAGATCCCAAAGTTGACATGATGTCAATTGGTCTAAGTAGAAAGTACAGCCTTAAAAGTAACTAAAAATATTTCTGTTAAATCTGTGTAGTCGTCTTTAAGTAATTGGGTAATGAACTGAGAACGTCCCCTTTAATTTGAAATCGGTTAAAGACAGCAACGATGCGGATGACCGTTCAGTCTACACGCTTACACGATGTGATGCAGCTGCGGCTTCGGCACGAGCCCCTAAAGTATCTGATAACTTGCCAAATTGTAATACCAAAAACCAGTATGTTGTATATTTTGATCTTTTGAACACTGACACTGGAGCGAGATTTCTTTATCTTCGAGATTTCGACATCATCTGCATTCTAATAACCCAGCTTCCAAAGTAGATTTGTACCCGTGATCGTAAGTCTAATCGCTCGGTCGGCTCGGTCATATTAGCAGTTAAAAAGCTCTATTTTCCACTTACAGGAGATGCTGTTGCGATCATCTCTTGAAACACAAAAGTTGGAGCTATTATCGAAGTTAAGTGAAGTGCGTCTGCGCGCAGCTGAACGAGGAGTATTAGAACGTTCACCGCCTCCCGAATCCGTTGTCACAGCACTACCGGTGGCCAGACCTGCGCCTCCCAGAGTATGCATCTTACTTTTTATTATGTCTAAATGTCTAAATTTGTGTGTATTGTGCAGAATCCGTGTAGAGAGGTGATAGATATGATGAAGAGAGAGAGAGAAATCTCAGACAACTTTGTGTACATCACCTACCGCTTTTAAAATTGACACGGCGATCCTAGTGAATCTGGTTCGCAAGATTAAAAAAAAAATAGTTAGCCAGCCCGTCCTAGTGACCTCTCCAATCACGTTACTAAACGTAAATATAAATCTATTTGAAATTATTTATTTTTCGAATAACTAAAAGTTAAATAATGTAAAATTGTAACTATTCCGACCATTGTTCATGACAGGTAATTTTTTGATTTATTGACACTGAATTGAAATACTTCTTAAATATTGTGTTTGTATGTATATCTTTTATTTCTTACTTTGAAACACATAGATTCATTCGTTATTTTACTCCTTAGAGGTAAAAAATTCAAAAATCTTTTCTTAGTGGGTGCTTACAACATAAAAAGCATAAGCCGCCAAAATGTCAAGTCTGTAGCCTCAGGGGTTTAGGCTCTGCGCTGATGAATCAGTCGGTCAGTGAGAGCAAGTAACTTTAAATGTATAGTTTACGTGTACGTGATTTAACAAATTACATTAATAACGATAGAGTAAGCTATATTATTATTATTATAATATTGTTCCAGACTCCACCAGCGAACTACGGTCGTCAGATCGAGCGCAACACGCACATGTACTCGTCGCTGCCGCGCTCGTCGGTGGTGACGTCAGAGGCGCGCGTCGCCTTCGGTAAACAGAACCAAATGGTGGTGGCGCGCGGTCGCGGACACTCCGTACCGAACCTAGGTCTCTGGGCAAACGCAACACTATGGTGTACACTTGTAGGGCATGACCGATTTTTACTTAAACCAGCTTAATCTAGCGCTCTACTACATATAATGCGGGCTGTTTTTTTTTGTATGCAACTGTGACCGAATATAATCGTAATTTAGAATCGAAAATAATCATGTTAATTTAGAACTCTACTTAAATTTAAAAAGTTTCTCAAAATGCCCTATTGATGCGTCGATGCTGTTGTTTCTGATAAGCATCCTTGACATTTAAAAGTTGGGTCAGAAAGCGGGCGGAGCGGGTCGCCGGCGCTGTAAGATGCTGAAATGTTAATACACATCTCACAAATTGTTTAGACTGTGACACTTTTATGTGTCTGTCTGTATCTTTCAAAGTTTTTGTTTGTGTATCAATATGCGAAAACACATGGTATGTGTAAAATATTTAAAATTCAGGTACACGAGATCTCTAAAGACAATGTTAGTTGCCATAAACTAAGTTTCTCAATATTGTAAATATTTGAGAAATATCTTTCTTCTAAATATTGATAAAAAAGTACTCATAATTGACCTATTTTATTTATTTGTGTTTTAATGCATACCTAATTGATATAAATGTGTTTGAATACCTAAAAAATCAGCCCGTAGAAATGAGACGTAAAATAACTGTAAAGTTATTACCCTTAACTGTTTTAAATCGGTCTAAGACGACTCGAATCGCTTTCAGCTTTCCATGTATGTTGTATTATTGATGAAATGTTTCCAATAGACGCTTAATGTACTGTATATTAAAATATCCTCGCATGTGTTGCGTGCTGCCTAAGCCCTGAAACCCATAAGCCTCAATGCTTACATTTAGTTTATTCGACATTTATTGTTAATTATTGCATGTACATGTATAAGCTTAGAACATAATTGAAGATTAATTATACAAAGTTACAGAGATGAAGCGTATGTCCAATTCACAAAATGTCCAACTGTCCAATTCTGAATTGGTCCAGTTCGTAATAAGGGGATTGATTTACGAGAAGTGTTTTAACGACTTCTATGTGGTAGAATTCGTCTCAAAGTAAAACGGCATATAGTTCCGGCCTGATGAATATATTCCGCGAACTGGAGCAATTAAGATTTATATTGTTTGCGCCCTCTGGACATGGTTTGGTTTTGTCAAACGAAAGTCATGTAGAGAAAAAAGCGATTTTTAACACCTTTTCTTGAAGAAGGAGAGCAGAAAGTATTAAATACATATATTATATGATTTTATACTCTCATTGCCCTGTAACGATTTGTATAAGTGACCTGTATCCTTAAAATTATTTATAGATATAGTTAAATAGAAGAATAAATATTTGAGATATTTTTACATATTTTCCTATGTGCATATTCCAATCGAGTAAATATTTAGTCAATTTAGAGCGATTTTCACAAGAAAAGTGTCATTCGATCAGTGAGCGAGTGGTGGTAATGTGGTGTTTGTTGGTGCGCAGCGGAGAAGGAGGAGAGCGGGGGCCGCGCCAGCCCGGCGGGCGGCGCCACGCTGCGCGCGCGCCTGGAGGGCGGCGACGGGCCGCGCGCCTCGCGCTCGCCCCACGCACCAGCGCCCGCGCACCAGCCCCATGCCATGGTCACTACTTTTTCTATACTCTATTTTTACCCCGACGAGAAACAATTTTTCCGAGCTTAAGGCTCGTAAACGAGGGGGCCTTTCTAATTTTTGTAACATTTGTAATCGATTTAAGTGTAAGACTTAAAAATTTAATTTAAAAACACTTAAAAGATTAACGTTACGTTGCATGCTTGTGTTGCAAATAGTTCATTGACCTTTTTATAATAAAACCAGAATTCATCATTCATTCATTTTTTTTGGAGCAATAAAAATCTTTTGAAATTATTTATTTTTTAATTAATTTCACTTGTAACTAACATAGTTAACAAATCTTGAATAATAATTTAAACATTCTTATAATTGTCGATATGAATCTTGGGGCTAATCTATTAAAGTCGAACAGATTGACAAGGTAACATCTAATCATAAAGTCAGGAAGAATTCTTTTACCAATTTTACATAAACATCAATTATAAATATAAACTGTAATTTATATTCATAGGGAGACGACAGACGTTCGCGAATGGGACTGTGAAACGACTTGCGGTTGGCTAGAGAGTCTCGGGCTCGAAGCATACGTGGGTAACGCTCGCGCCTGGTTGGGAGCTTCGCCCGAAGCGCGCGGTGCTCTCGCCGCCGCATCACACAACACTATCGAAAAAGAACTCGCTATCAAGCACCCGCTACATAAGAAGAAGATCGTACTGGCACTTACTGATCTTTTGGTAAGTGCTTAAGACCCGGTCTTATTATTATGCCAGTGTCAATTAATAGTGATAGTTACTTATCACGCATTAATAATAACATAATTTGTTTATTGTTTTTAATAGACTTAATTCCATTTTTTTACTGGAAAGAATGTCAATAAAGTTTTAAGCAAATGCCTAGTACCAAAAAAGTGTAATTTTTTTTGTCTAGAGGCCAGAATTTACGTTCTTCATTTGAATGTTTGTAAAGTGTTGTGGTTTTATTTATTTTTTCGAGAAATCGGGAATAAAATGGACGCAGTGCTTGTGGGTTTATTTATGTTATACTTTTGGTTATAAATAATAACTTTTTAGAAATGTTGAGGTACTCCATTGTCTGTATTTTACTGTAGTCAAAGTGAACGTATGAGTTGTGAATAGAAGGCCAAAACTTCTTTTCTAAAGAGAGGCCTATGTCCAGCTGTGCACTATTAAAGGCTGTCGATCAGATGACGATGAAGTGAATGTTGTATTGTACTTTGAGCGCTAGTGCAGGACCAGATGTTGTATTGTGGCAGGGCGGGCACGGCGACCCGTGGCTGACGCTGGCGGGGCGGCTGGACACGGCGTGGACGCTGCGCTGGCTGGAGGACGTGGGCGTGTGCGGCGCGCGCGCGGCCGCCAGTGACGCGGCGCTGGACGCGCGCGTGCTGCACCGCCTCACGCACACCGACCTGCACGCGCACCTGCGCGTCGCGCACGCCACGCATGCGCTCTCCATCCGCAGAGGTATCGCACCGCACGCTCACCATTCTTGTCATGCACACACAAAATCCTCTCCCGTGGAAGCGTATTAAACGCCCACTTTTGCCAACTATTATAATTACAGCCTCCACTTATACAATAAGAGGCAAGTTTATTGCCGTCATCCGAAAATTAGGGGTTACTTACCACCACTTAAGTATATTGAAAACAAAAGCAGATAAGAATTATATGAAAGTGTTTTGTAGTATTTATGATATTAATAATAGTTATGACAACTTGAGATATGCTGTATTCAGCTTGTCAATAAAAAAGAAACGATTGCAGATCTTCAACAGATATCACTTCCCATGTATATTTCAAACACGAATGGTGACACTCGTGCAAAGCTTATTTCAAAAAGGTCCTGTCATTCTTTACATTTTTACTACTGTTCTATCCGTTCGTAAAACTTGTAGTTGACATTTAAGTTAAATCAGTTTATTTATACTAAACATAAATTCAATAAAAAAAACGTAATGAAATAATTTCCTTTGAAATTATTATCGTTAAAGTCAATATATCAATGCTTTTAATTTTACACATTTAGATTTACATTTAATTTTTATTAAACAACAATCTCTGTTAAATAGTTCGATTTAAATAAACTTTACGTTCAAGACACTACTTGAAATTGAAGTATATTGAATAAGTATGTTAGTAGACTAATGTTATTGAACAGGCATCCAAGTGCTGCGCGACAACAAGTTCTCCCCCGACACGATGATCCGTCGCGCGGCGGAGGGCGAGGGCGCGCTGTCGGCCGAGGGCGAGCCCGTGGAGCTGCGCGCGGCCGACGTGGCGCGCTGGTCCTCGCACCGCGTCATGCAGTGGCTCAACGAGATCGACCTCGCCGAGTACGCGCCCAACTTGCGCGGAGCAGGTCTCTTTGACACCCTTATATTCTTCATCTCGAGATTAACTATTTCTATTATACGTCGAAAAATAACGTTTCGGTCGGAAAGCACAGCATACGACGTCCACCAACAAGGTGGATAAACAACGTCATGTAGATTACAGGTTGACGGTAGATGTAAGCCGCTTTGGTGGTCCCAGGAACTGGCGGAATTCTGAGCTACCTATACTCGTGCGCAGACGCAGCAAAAAGTCAAGAGAATGCTTTTACTTGTTGGTATCGATTGTTATCCCTGGGGTCGCTCTTATCGCACTACGCAACAAAATCTTTGCGCATCGCCCCTCTAACCATGAGACGACGGGGAAAACTTCATTAGGCGACTTTTCTACGGATCCGTTCCGAAGCTGCCTCCGAATAGGGGGGGTGGCCGCGAGGGGTCTCTCTGTGTGTGCCTTTACGTCGCCTAAATGAGAGTATTTACTCGAAGGTGGTGCCGCGCTTTTGCAGGCAGGCGCTAGGAGGGATCTCTCCTATTTAAGGCGTATCTATGGGATGGCGTGTGATTTTAGTTTGTTCAATGCCGATACACACCACACAGCTCCACCGTAAACCCTCTTGGGATACGACCCAACGGGGTTTACGGACGCATAGATATTCGTATAATACATTAAAAAAGTTATTTTTTCCTTATGTTATGTCAATATTTTTTTATTCGAGTGACTATGTCTATGTATATTACATTATTTTATTCCAAATGGAGTACCTATCCTTCTTTGATTCGTTAAACAACAATCCAATTGCAGGTGTTCACGGTGGATTGATGTTGCTGGAGCCGCGTTTCACAGCCGAGCTGCTGGCTGCCTTACTAAACATTCCAGCCAACAAGACCCTACTGCGGCGGCATCTCACGCAAAGGTATTTTCAATACAATAGCATTTTCTAATGTGTACTGTATATAGCAGAAGGATCTAATATATTGTTCAACTTGTAACAATTTTACAGATTTAATGATCTGCTAGGCAGGGAGGTAATTCAGCAAAAACGCAACGCCGAACAGACTCTTGGCTACCAGCCACTGACTGCAACCACCAAATATAAGGTATGGTTTTGGTCGTGATCGTGGCAAGTCTAACCATAAGTTAACTATTATCGTAAAAATATCAAAGCATTATTTGTGGGTATCGTCATTCTTGTATCACGCTAGCAACATCATTGCGCAGAAATGAATTGCGTTAGGTTGCCTTGATTCGGGAAGCTCTACTGTAAATGTTCTACTTTTTAACCAACTCCAAAAACATAAAAGAGGTTCTCAATTCAACTGTATTTTTTTTGTTGTTGTTTGTTACGCGATATCTGTGTCAATTATGGACCGATTTTTTAAATTCTTTTTTAATCGAAAGTGAATACTCCCGAAGTGGTTCCATTACAACCAAATCGGGATCTGATGATGGGATCCTAGAGAAATCATTCATCAGACTTCAAACAGACTAGAAAGTATCTATTGTTATTATAATAACCTGTTATATTAAGGGTTGCACTTATTTTAGTTTTTCAATTACATTTGTAATTATTTTTCAAATTTTTTGTGCTCTTTGTTAGTATTGCTTCAAGTCGGTTCAGCTTAAAGAAAAAGGGATTTTTAAAAAATATAATAGGTAATTAAAATTACCTAAATCAAAAGACTAAATTTTAACAAATTATATTACATAATAGGAAATAAATAATACGAATAACACCACTTTTGTAGGCAGGTAGCTGTCTATATAAGCAGTATCTAAGGCTATTTATCCTCTCAGAAAAACCCTATAAAATTTTGCCCGGTTCGGAAATCGACCTGTACTACACCACTAAGGCTTTTCAAATTCTACGCGATGAAATCGCGAGTACCAGCTAGCGCAATATAATAATGCAGTGAATCACTGAGTAGCGTAAAACTTTCGGTACCCAAAAAAATGCTACCATATGCCATTACTGGAGCGTTTAGTATATATCATTTTAGAAGTAATGTTAACCAAAATGCATCCTATCACATAGCCGAGTATAGTCTATGAATACTTACCATATTGTTGTAATTTGTAAAACGTAGGTACCAAAGAAAAGCCAGTTCTCACTGAAGCGCAAGAAGAGCAAGGACGACCTGGAGCTAGGCGACCTCGTGTGTCCACTGCACGATGACGGCTCAGGTGACATAACCAACTCGCCAGTAAGTTGCCTTACTAACAACACTAATCTGTATATTGTTGCACCAAACAGATAACATATACAGACTGACTCGACAAAACTAAATTAAGGGCCATCCATAAATTACGTCACATGTAAAGGGGGAGGGGGTCAATGAAGTGTGACATTGAGTGACAAATGGTGGGAGGGGTCCTAAGTATCGTGATGACACATTTTAAAACCTAATATGTCTAAGTAATATAACGCAAATTTAGAACTTTGCATCGTTTTTTGTTTTATTGTTGTGTAAGTTGAAATTATTAAAAAGTAATTAAAATGGAATTAAAACTAATTTTAATATGTACTGTACAGGTACTGTTGTGTTAATATGTGACGTCACACGAGGGAGCGGGGCTGACTAATGTGACCATCTGTGACAAGGAGGGAGGATGGGGTCAAAAAGCCATGAAATTCGTGTGACGTAATTTATGGACGGCCCCTTATCCCTATTATCTATTACACCGTGGGTGAGTCATGTTTCGGCACAAATGGGCCGGCTCGACCAGAGTGAACCGCGACCTCACAGAAAACCGGTGTTAAACAATTCTTACGTTACTTTTCACCGAGTGAGTGAGGTTGCCAGAACCCAAACCCTCCTCCCTCGCATAGTAGGGAGGGGACTCAAAGGGCGATCAACGAACTTGTCTCTTCAGTGGGCCTTGACCGCGTTTGGCGCTGTGATTGGCCCGCGCGGAAATCTTCACCAATGGCAACGCCGAACGCGCTCGCTGTCGAGAGCGAGTAGAAGTAAAATAAACTTAAACTAAGCCTTCAGTTTCAGGTGTCAGGTGTTTTATCCGTCTGGTCGTTTGCCCCCATTTACATAAAAATAATAGTACAACATATAAGTAAACCAACCCACGTCAGAGTCTGTATATGTTATTTAGAAATTTGGGTATTATTTGTTCAATTTGCTTTTAGTTTTGGCAGTAATTCCGTATTTTCAAGTTTCCACATTGAATGCATATGGGATCAGTTTAATTGCTTAAGAAGAAGAAGAAATTATTGAATAGTGAGACGTGTAAAGCAATCAAAATTAATATTGTTATGTAGTTGAGCTACTTATGAAAGATTTCTATTAATTAATATCAACTTAGATGAAGTCAAATCCAATAACACTGAACGATGTTATAAGGGATTCGATTTAAATATTTGTAACTTAAATATAATTCTATAGCTTTTTATTTTTTAAATAAAAAAATCCTTTGGCACAGTTCACGTTCGAACTGTGTAGCAATATGTTTTTTGATCATAAGATGTCACCAAGTTTTGACCATAATAAGTGTTAGTCTTAAATGAGTTTGTGTGGTGTTTCACCTCCATAGAGGTATGTTTGTTTTATATTGCACTATAGTATAGCTGCACCCTAGTAGTGGTGATGTGTTTACAATAACAAAATTTAACAACGGCGGTGGTATGCTTTGGTTTGGGTAATTACAATAAATATATTAATAGTTATTTAATACTTAATTTGCTTTAGATTAATTCGAGTCTTTATATTGCAGTTTTTTTGATATGTAACGTTTGAACAACTACAATGCAGGAATTTCACTTGTAACTTTTAGCAAAATAATAATCTAAAATCACAAATATATGTAGATAAAAATAAGTAATAAATAATTACGAAGCTCTTTTTGTAGTAAAATCCAAATTCATTTTTTTATAGGTACTAGTACCTTATTTAGAATGTTTTTTAGCAAAGGATTCGAATCAAGATGTAATTTATGCTATATCATTATATTTATCGCTGTATGTATTTAAACGTGTAAGAAGATTCTGTTAAAATTTTAGTAGTACCTTAGACAGAAAATGTTTTTTATGTCCAATTTTTTTTTACAATTTTAGTTATTTTAAACTGTAGTGTAACATTTTCAGACGATGAAAGTAAAATCAGCGGCAGCGGACGTCGCGTCGGGTGTTTATCCCCCGCGTGACGAGGCGCGGACACACTAGCGCCGCACTGGCTACACTAGCCACCTTGGACCGACCTAGACACAATGTTCATCAATGTTAATTATTCTTTTAAGTACAGAAAATAACCATTCCTTCTGTCTTAGATCCAATTTTAGTAAGAACAAATTCTGTAGAGAACGATTCAATTAATATCTGCTAAAGCTTAATTGGTCAAATAAAGCCTGACCGTATAATACCAGTGTAAACGGGGCCATTATACTGTGTGTGGACGCCCTAAGAGTGGTTAGTATCGATTAAACATTTCAGAAGCATATAATTATGTCAGTACTAGGTTTATATAGTGCTAGTCATGAGGATTAATTGTAGTTGCAATACGAATGAAGAGTTGTAAAACGAGTTTGCAGTTGAAACAATTTTAGACGCTGTCTTTTGAAAACGTCTTCAAGTCGTCATTCGTTTAATTAAAAGTTGTTAATAATACTAACCGACAATTTTTTTTTAACATATTATTTCAATTTAATATTTAAGATTTTTTCTAAAACATAAATACTTTTTGTTAAGTGTTTTCATGTTTTCGAATATCGAAAGAAATGTTAAATGTCTAATATTGTGAAAATTGTTTTACATACACGGAATGGCATGGCATGAGTATAATTTTCAGTCTATTAAATCCTTTGTGTTCATTTTAGCCCTGCAGTATAGTACAGTCATGTGAAGTTAACAGACAAAACAAAAAGTAGATTTTATAAATAAAGTGAAAATGCAACAATTTAACATGTTAATGAGGTACTTGATATAAGTGTACAACTTTCACTTGTACTGTTTATGAGTCTCTGTTTATTTCTTGGTCACTTAAAAAAGTGAAACACAGCTCACAGAAGGGGTCAACCTGAGCGATAAAATTTTGCTCGGTGTTTTTGCCTTGTACCTTTAGAACTCAAATCGTTAGGCCGATTACCGAGATACCTGAACAACATATTTGTATATATACAAGAATTCCTCGTTTAAACTTATTAGATGGAACCTACGTCAGTAAATTTAGAAAACTATCAAAATTCAGCTTAACATTAACAATATCGTCAGACCATTGTTGAGAACCAGAATACAACTACATTTGATAAAACTAATTCTTTGGTAGAGCACCCAGCAAAATATCACCTACCCGTCAGGGAGGCTTTCGGATTGAGCCACTGTCATAAAAAATGTACGCAAAAAAATAAATAAAAAAAAGACAAAAAAAATTGAACTGAAATAAATATTTGCCAAATAAAATATATGTATTAACGTTAGATATTAACTTAAATCATTGTCTAACCACTGTTTTGTAGGCATATTGGTGCTAAATTCAATATGGTGGCATAATTGCCCTAAAACGTTACATTTTAAGGCATAGCCCTCAAAACAAAGTGTCCAAAGTATTACTTATAACTGTAGTTATTATAGTTAATTATGAAATGTTATTACTGATGCAACTGCCAAAAATCGTGAATGAGAAAATATATACATAATGTGTTATAAATGATAGATAACAGGTCGTCATTAATTTACAAATATTCAACTAAACATTTGTTCACATTTAAAATAAAACAATTTAGTAAATAACTGACGACTATAGTTAAAACATTAATGATAATAATTGTGTATTTAAGTAAATATTTATTTTAACGTTAATTTTATAGTTAAGTGAATATTTTTGAAGACTTACGTATATATTGAGCTACTTAAAAATGAAAAGCTGCATACAATTCAAGTATTGAGTACGTTTAGTTTTGTACCTACTAGTTGAACGTACATCATACGAACAATAGACATTCCATGTTCATGACAAAATAGGGAAAATTGTCGATTTGAACAAATGCATTCAAATAATGTTCTGTATATCATGTTCACATTAATGTACATTCGCGCTAAACAAAAAGGGATACATCGATCATGCCCCGCCCCCTGGCCAATCAGGTTCCAAGAAATTATCGTTCCGTACGAAAGCTTGGAACCTGATTGGTCAGGGTTCGGGGCGTGAGTGACTATTTTCTTAACGCGTCTGAACTATAGGTATAAATCTATTGCAGCTAATCAGACAATGATGTTTTGCACTGAAACCGTGGCTATATTATCCTAGTCCGAGTCATTTCGGATCTATCATTTGAGATTTCTATCATCGTCCCCCACTTTAAACCCACGGGCAATGATAATGTTTTACAAAAAAAAAGGATTGGTTCTCAATTCGGATTTGTTTTTCTTTATATTTGATTTTTATATTTATTATATTATTTTATATATATTTATTATATTTGATTATACCTCAGAAGTCTGTCACTTATGAACTGATTTAGAAAATTGAAAAGGTGTACTTCCCGTTTGGTTGCATTGAAAATTGAGGAAAAACATCAAATTAATTAATGAAGTATACAGTTTGTTACAATTCGTCACGATTAAAGCGCATTCAAGTCGATTATACTTTTTTAAATTTGTAATCTATTTAATCTAAGAGGTACCGTTTGAAGTTTCATAATTTTCAAGCCGAACAACTTTGTAATGGCGTAACTCACTGAACCTTAATATCATCATCAACAGCCTTTACTAGTCCACTGCTGGACATGGGCCTCTCCTTAGGAAGGAGGTTATATACTTTTATAATATACTTACCATAATATACTTTTCCGTAAAAGCATGGACTTATACAGCAATTTCTATTTTATCACAAGATTTAAAATTCTTAATGGCCAAATTAAAATCTTTTAAACAAAGTAAATTAACCAATATATACAGTAGATAGATTTTTTAGACTACGTTTCAAAGTGACGTAGTTAGGTGATTTACCTTAGTGTACTCTTCAAATTCACTTGTATAGGAATAATCGTTAAAATGTACGAATAATCAAACTTATAAATACCCTGCCATTTTCAATCCGGATATCTTTAGTATTGACATTACGCGCCATACAAGTCTGCGCCAATGAAGTTAGCTGCAAATCGAATGTTGCATAGTTACCCTCGCAAAACAAACGTACATTTTATTGCACAAAAATACATTTTGTTTACCGAATGTTTGCGTGAAGTACTAAACTACAAAGAAGAATTGTTGCTACATAATTGTATCTTGTATATTTGAATCTACTTCCGAACAATAACTTTAATATTTTAAATACTAAAGTCACAAAAACAAATAAAAACATTTCACGCTTTTGATAACAGCGCTGGACTACTAGGGAATAGATACATTATCAATGAATAGACTCTTCTAGAATTATATTCAATATTTAGTCTATTTAAGGTGGCAGATAACTACAACATTTTTTTAAGTATTCCCAGTACATCGGTACAGTACAAAACCGTTATTCAAATTTATAAAGTCGAAAATTGCTTGTACCTATTTTTTATCATTCATGTGTGATGAGTATTTAACCTCAACCTAATGAACTGCCTCAATATCTAATTTCTTTTTGACATTCTTTATCATCGTCACTCATAGAAGCCCAAAAACACATTTTTAGAGAAATGTCATCAAGGGAATGTCGAAAATGCTTGCTACAATGTTTTTGTTATAATGTAGGTATGTGTATAACTACCATAAAATTAGATGTCAGGTATATTTTCGACTTATTTTACCAGTTATTATTCCCATTGCTGACACATATACCTGGAACTGGACCCTATGTTATTTATGTATTTTCATTTAAGTATGTTTCAATTGCTTTTACAGATGTTTATTTTCATACATACTTACCGCTCTGATACCTAAAATTGCATTTGGCTGCGTTACTCGCGCGAACTTTGCTGTTGCAAAGTTATTATGCGCGTATTGTAATGATATTTAAATTTCGGCTGACATCTAACTGTTAACGAAAACTTATAATTAAAATTAAAAATATGTAAGTTAATATAATTTTAAATAAATCTTATTAAAATAGGCAAAAACACTAGTGTTCATATTTATTTAAATCTGGCTAAGTTATATCAGGACTGAAAAGCCCGAAAAATAATCTCTCTTATAAAATTCTGTCATTTACTTATACATTGGTATATAAATAATAAACCAAAGATACAGTAATATTCGGGTGTTTACAGTAACATTCATAAATCTTTGAAATTAATCGATTTCTTTAAACCCCTACCTATTCATCAATCTGTCAGAACTGTCAAACGGTACCTCTAAGATTAGATGGCCTATAATTATATTATTATTGATTCCTAATTGTTTAACAAAATGATAAATTGTAAAACACGGCCGGTAATGCTAGGAACACTATAACGCTGGTCACGCTTAACACAAATAGAAGCTATATTATTGATATTGCATCTTTGTTTTATATTAATATATGTTTATAAGGCATCACTATAAACATTAACTAGTGTTCTCTCGTCCTAGCGAGTGTTAGTAGTTTGTAACAAGTTATTTCAGTACTTAGCGCTTTTAAAAATAATTAGGTAGCTTAGTAGAAATCGACTGAAAGGTGACAATATAATTCTGGTCTCTTTTTTGCTGATCAGAGATGTTATACATACCCGTTTATATAAAATATTTACTTAGATATGTTCCGGAAGACTTGACGTTTGTTTTTTATAGTAAGTGTTCATATTAATGTGACAAGTAAAGAAAATATAATGTTATTATCATATGTAAATATCATGTTCTAATTAAATTCCAAGATCATGTAAGTGAGACAGCTCGCCTAAGTCTGAAGCCAATTATGAACTAAGCTCTTGAAAATATGCTTAACCAAGGCAGGGCGTGATTATTAAATACATAAACATTTACTTTCTTTTTTTTACATTTAAATTTACCGCACAATGGTTTTAGTGGCGATTGTTTCGTTAATTTTTGAGTCTTTACAGAAAATAATAATCCTTAGTCTTGTTCCTAACATGTTGTGCCAAATGTTATAAATATTGTAAGCCCTTTACGATAGTCCCTCGTCTTCCATAGACTGTATAACTCATTAACTAGTAAGTGAATAAATCACCGACAGTTAAATATTGAAACATTTTTATAATATCATAAAATATATAATTTTAAAAGATAATAAATACTGAATGAACACAATTAAACTTGATTTTTATTTCTTTATTATTATCACAGTTCATTTTCAAATAACTGTTGCGAATTTATTATAGTTGCATCGGTGCTTTTTAAAACTTTGAGGCCCTCTGAAAGTTAAAGTTTTGTTAATAGAATGTTTAGAAACACACAATGGTGACCTACTTTCTGAAAACTGTTTTCAGAAAGTAGGTCACCATTGTGTGACATATTCTAAAGTCCTAAAATAGTGATCAAATTAGTCACCTATTCTTCATAATCTTTCTTGTCAGGTGGCGTCCATATGGTGCGTAAGTGGTGAATAATTGTTAGAATTATTAGCGTAGTCATTTTGGTTGAAGATATATATCTATTGAGCCAAAAATACCTCTTTGGCACACTTGTCAAAGCAAAAGGACAAAAGTATGATTTTCTTACTACGTAAATGTTGATAATACTCGTTAAAGAAGTCAAGTCAAAACAAGTCTGTTGATCCTGACTGCTAAGACAGAGCTAGTAGGAGTGATTTATCTATACAATGTGTATATTTACAAATATATAAGTTTGTTTTGAAATATATGTGCACGGTAGAAGGCACTAATTTGGCCCCCTATTGCGTAAGTGAAGCTAAAATTGTAGTGTACACACCTTTGCCCCGTCCCCGACGGCGTAATTCTGCTATTCTCTCCACCTCATTTTCTTCTTCTGCGTCCCGCTCCCGCTTTAGTGCATCTTCACGTGCTTGTTTCATTACAGATTCTTCTATAAACGTCAATTCTAGGAAAGAGATGTTAAAGTTAAGGACATCAAGTGTAACGTGTGATATTTACACACAAATACGTATATTTATAAAATCTAATACATGACGCGTTAATAAATTTTGTGGATAGCCACTAAAGCTGTATTTTGATATCATGCACTTTGGTCTTTAAAAGTAGACTGTTTAAAACGAATACAATGGAAAGATACAATGGTTGTGTTTACTGAACAGAAATATTATATATAAAATTATGTTAGGTTTTCGTCACGTACTTAATATCATATTGGCAAGCGCCAATGAGTCAAATTAATTTTAATTAAACTTTGTGTTTGCAAAAATTTCAAACCATTTTTATGAATTTCTACATGCATAAAACTAGAGGGTGGGTCAAGCAGTATGGTTATAAGTAAAAAATAAATAAGCCTTATTATTTCTGATTTTCATGTATTTGTACAATATTTATTTACTTTGTATGGTTACATTCCCTTATCAACACACCAGCTGGTGTCAACTTTTCCGAGAACATCTCAGCCTATCGCAATCCACTGCTGGACATAGGCCTATCCCGGATTATCGGATTCTTGCATCCAGCTCCTGCCAGCCATGTGCAAATCGTCACTCCACCTGGTCTGTGGGCATCCTACACTACGTGTGCTGAGATGCGGTCTCCACGCAAGAACTCGTTTCTCCCAATGGTTATCGATTTGGAGGCTTATAGGGCCTTGGTTCCGGATCATTCCTGATGCGATCCCTTAGAGAAACGCTGAGCGACTTCAAGCTTGTGGACCAGTCGTACCGTAAGTGTCCACGTTTCGGCTTGATATCATGACGGGAAGGACGCACTCATAAAACTTCCATCCTTAGGCACTGTGGGATCGACGATGAGAAGACTCTACGTAGCTTCCCAAACGTTGCCCAACTTAGCTGAATTCTTTTATCCTCGAGGACCTCGTCCTCGAACTGCAAAGGTACACATATTTCTGAACAACTTCGAGAACGGCACCGTGTACCGCAAACATGACCATGGTTTTACCAAAGTTTATCCGAGGGCGGTGCGTATAGAAGAGTCAGCTAGGTCACTCAGAAGAGTCAGCATCTGTTGTAGGTCTTGCAGCGTCTCTGCCATGATGACGATGTATTCATCATTGATATTGATGAAACGCCCTTTCCAATGCAGCCTCTTGAACATGGCTAACATTGCATTTGTAAACAATTTCGGGGAAATAACGTTCCCTTGTCGCACTCCTCGATGCGGGATGGGCCTTGTTTGCTGATTATGTACTTGGACGGACATGGTGGCGGCTTCATAAAGACATATCATTACTTGGATGTATCGTCAGTTTGCTTGGCAACGCTGCAGGGACTCCAGAACAAACCAGATTTCGATTGAGTGATTGATTGATTGATTGAGCCTTCTCAAAGTCCACGAGTGCTAGACACAGGGGTTCATATAATCTTAGATTATCTGTATAATCTGCTGCATTTTGTGGATGTGGTCTATGGCGCAATATCCGCTTCGAAATCCAGCCTGCTCCGGTGGGTGGAATTCGTCGAGTCTTAACGCAAGACGGTTCATGATGCCTTTATATTGCATATTAAGCTGGCAAATACTGCAGTAGAGTCAAACACGTAGCTTGTGAATTTCGGGATTTATTTTTCCTTAAGAACGTATTTAAAACGTATCTTGTGCATAATCAACAAAAAAAAACAGAATCCTTTTCCTTCTGATTTTTCGAAACCATCTGTGCAAAGAACTAGGTATGTAGGACTTTTGTAGATATGTGATCTATGTACAATATCGCAACAATTACTTTTAACATGCTTTGCAAACATAAACACACTTCAAATTTCTGGTAGACGGATGTTTTCTTTTTCTAAATAACAATCAAATCTTTCTATTTATAACTAATACGAGTATTATAAATAGGAATGATTTGATTTTTTGTTTGTTGATGAATAGGCTTCGAAACTCCTGGACCGATTTTAAAAATTCTTTCACATATAGAAAGCTACATTACCAGCAAGTAACATAGGCTATATTTTATTTTGAAAAAAATATTAATTTCCTCTAAAAATGGCGATAGTTTGAAGCAAGGTATGAAATAGTGATGTGCCGGATATCCGTATCCGTATCCGCGGATATCCAAGGGAGAAGAGAGATCCGTAACCGTATCCGTATCCGTGACTTTTTTGGCGGATCTTTCAATACATATTACATAGATGAAATTCTATATAGGTGATTTTGTATTCACTGTAAAACTCTTAGGTATGTGTTTGTAACACTATAAACAGCAACTGTTTTTCTGGCCAACGTCAAAATGAAAAAAAATTGGTCCTCCATTCAAATGACCAATCAACTGTTGTTAGTTTGTATGGAGAAACAATTTTTTTTTCTTTCGTTTTCGGTGTTAGTCCAGAAGAAAAGTTGTTGTTTATAATGTTACTAATATGCACTTCAGAGGTTTTCAGTCAATTTAAAATAACCCTGAATAATGGTTATTAGGTAGCTATGAAAAACTATTGAATTCTGTTCAGATTACTTTTTATTTCTTAAAACAAATATTTCGCACCTTTGTATTGCAATCATTTATCGTACTATACTAAATCAACTAGGCAGGTCGTAGGTACTGAAAGAGCTATCTTTATAATGAGATCAATCATCTTTGGATAGGGTTTTCCAACAAGAGGTGTTATTTTGGATCACCCGGTATTTCGGTAGCTGTCACTTTTGAAGCTTTTATTTTTTGACATTTGACAAGTAGAAACTACGCCATTACTAAAAATGCATTGAAGTTATTAAAATTCACTACAAAAGTGGTGAAAATCTTGCAGTCACAGTTCGCAAAACTAAAGCATTTTTTGGTCGTCGTGAAGCACCTTGTCGGACCGCAATACAGAAATTGGTGGAAAAATTCGAGCTGTTGGGACAAGTTAGAGATGTGAAGAATAAAACCCGTGTACGTCGCTCAAGAACAACTGAGAATATTGCTGCTGTAGCCCAAAGTGTTGAAGAAAACGCAGGTTTGTCCATTCCTCGTCGTTTTTTGGTATTGGGCATTCCAAAAACGTCATTACACCGTATTTTGCATAAAGACTTAAGTCTTAAGGCTTATAAAGTTCAGTTAACACAAGAACTAAAGCCGGCCGATCATCAACAACGTCGTGTCTTTGCTGATTGGGTACTTGAAATGCATGAAAATGATCCGGAATTCCATCGAAAAATCATCTTGACTGATGAGGCCCATTTCCACCTAGGAGGCTACGTCAACAAGCAAAATTGTCGCATCTGGGGCTCGGAAAACCCAAAAGTTATTATTGAGAAGCCTCTCCATCCTCAACGTGTGACTGTTTGGTGCGGTTTATGGTCCGGCGGGGTCATTGGACCTTACTTTTTCGAAAATGAGGTTGGATCAACACTTACGGTGAACGGATTGCGCTATCGAGATATGATTAATGTTTTTTTATGGCCGGAGTTGGGTGGTATTGATCTGGACAACGTTTATTTTCAACAAGACGGCGCTCCGTGCCACACAAGCAACGAAACCATTGCTCTTTTACGGGAAAAGTTTCCTGACCGTGTTATCTCTCGAAGAGGTGATCACAATTGGCCACCGAGATCTTGTGATTTAACACCTTGCGACTTCTTCCTTTGGGGCCACGTGAAAGATAAGGTCTACGCCAACAGCCCAGCGTCGATTCAAGACCTCAAAGATGGAATTCGTGAGGCTATCGAGGACATAGGGCAGCCACTTTGCGATTGGGTTATGCAAAATTTCATTAAAAGGATATGGTCCTGTAAGCGTGGTCGTGGTAGACATTTGGCTGATGTTATCTTCCATTACTAACGGCATACCTTCCTCTTTATTATAAAATAAACAGCCGATTATTTATCTTAAAAAAATGCATTTTTTTTTTAATACTAAAATAACACCTCTTATTGGAAAACCCTATATTAGCTTATTAAAATAATGAAATATTTAAATATCAACGGCAAAGCGTCAAGTGGCGCATGGTGCATTTAATGTAGGTCAAAATTGCCCTTTACAACAACACTTTAAAATCCCTTAAAAGATATCAGAGATTTAAAATGCGAGAACATAACATTTTTCATTGACGCACGGATGTAATTAATCGTAGCGATGTTATATAGGTAACTTAGCGCCTTCCTCATTAAAGGGACTATCCAACACTAAAATTAAATTCAAATTTTCAATTCGAACCAGTAGTTCCTGATATACCGAACAAATAAACAGACTCTTCATCTTTGTAATATGATGAATTGACTGCACGGATGGCGTAGTGGTTTAAACGGTCACCTCGCCGCTTCCGTCCTGCGTTGAGTATTGTGGGTTCGATCCCCACATGGGACGACCTGCGTGTTCTTTGTGTCCGTTTCATGTATGTTTGTAAAATCCTACGCGACACATGAATATGTTCCTAATGCAGGAGTTGTCTTTAGAAGAAAATAAATTAAATTACGGATATTTATTTCTGTTTTTCTTTTATGTAGCTTTGCATCTTCTTCCAAGTTTATTCACAAAATATTTTAATACTGTAATACAGTAAATAGATACTACAACATATATACACTGCTCCGATCAGAATGCCAGAAGAAAGTAACCTATTGGCCTATGTTTAAAACATATGTGTAGTAAATATCTAATATTACTTCTGTGCATTGTACTTGTTAAATGTATTTTTTAATAATTATATAAAATTTTGGTACAGCACCGCTCCACGCAGATACGGCAGGTTTGATCATGTCGTCCATTTAATTATTTTTCAGTTAGAAAAAAATATCATTTCGAAGTAATTTTTGAAGTGAAAACTTCTTTAGCGGCGCTGTACACTTTTTTTTGTAATGGGTAAATAAAAATTAAACTCGCGTCAGGACACGTGACCCTGATCGAAAATTGGTAAGACGGATGCAGAGTAGACAGCCGGCGCGGCGTAGGAGAGGAAGTATCCTCCTCTCTTTCTACGGCGCGGCGAAAAGGTATGCCTGCGCCTGCTGTCTCGTTTAGGCGGCGCAGGGCGCTTGCGCGAATGTTCGTTTATCTGAGAGATAAACTTTTTAATGTAATATAAATTGCCATGTTTGTGTACGATAGCGTAATAAATAAATATTGTATTCTACCACATAAATGATAGTACTTTTATACTGATCATTAAAGCAATTCGTGCAAAATTAGTCCCTAACAATTCCAAAATATCAACAATGCGCAACATTAATATTTAAGTTTTGACTTCTGCCGGCACTCCCGTCGTTTTTTTTTTTGTAAACGGATTTTAAATACTTTATTAATCTAGTCGTGTATTTAATATTATGATTGAACGTAATGTAATTAAAAAATACTAAATTGAATTTGCCTCTAATCGTGAGATTGATAATCGTTATATTTATTTGATAACTCTCGCAGGCTATTTACCATGTTATCTTGCTGGATATCCATTACACATCCGTTAAATATTACCATTATTATTACATCTCTACTAAATATATTATAGCCCTTAGGTAATTGGTTTGGTTTTCATTTAATTGTAATATTTCATGTATGGAAGTACGTATGCCGTTTAAAAAAATATAGTACTTGTTAGTCTAGGGTCCATGGCAATCCAAGGGCCTTGAAAAATATTGGCAGCTGTAGGCCGCGACTTAGCATCAGGTTCCATTAACAGTGTAACTTGTTGCTTGCATTCTTGGGACAACTGGTTTACAACACTGGTTCGAAATCGCCACTTACGCATCACCTTTATTAATAAAAGGAAAAATATATAAATAAGTAAGTAGTCTCAAGCGACGCTACAACCCCCTCACCAAGCATATCTCTAAAACCTTGGGACTGACCCGATGTAGTGCACATTAATTAATACCTAATAGTGGTGATCCAACTAAAGCCACAAATATACAACGTTTACTGGTGAATGACCAATAGATTCTGCCAGTAGATTCCACTTCGAATCGTTGCAGAGGTTTCGGGTGAGGCGGGCACAGTTTTATGCGACACCACATCCATTGACCTTGATTAAATTTAGATTTATGGCAATTTAGATTAATGGCATGTCTCTACCTAATTTTGGATAGGGGTTTTTCATTGTATCCTCTGCTAAGAGAAGGACACGGGGAAAAACAATTTGAATACATAACATTATTTTTAAGATTGATTACCTTATTACTTAAATCTGATGACCGTAGGTGTAAAATTGAATAAGAGTTACCTGCTTCTCGTACAGTTTTTTTACGGATGTCTCATTAAAGGGCAATGCTTTATTCAGCATTGTGTAAAGAATGATGCCCAGTGACCACATATCTGCTAATTTAGGTAGATAGGGTACGCCTTTTAAGACCTCTGGAGCAGCATACGATAAAGAACCGCAGTAAGTTTCACTAAGCAGATCTTTATCGCGGTGTTTCACGTTTCGAGCAAATCCGAAATCAGTTATCTTCACATTGTAATTTGATGTTATTAATATGTTTTCGCATTTTAAATCTCTATGGGCTATATTCATAGTATGTATGTAAGAAATTCCCGATATAATCTGTCTCATCCAAAGCCTGCTTTGATTTTCTGGTACTGCACCGTTTTGTGTCAAAAAATCTAGCAAATCGCCGTTTTCTGCGAAACGTAGAAAAATGAAGTATTTAGCACGCCGTTGAAATATATTGGACACATTTATTATGTGAGGATGAGTCACTCTTATCAAAACATCTAGCTCGCGAGGTAAAAATTTAGTGAGATAATCGCGAGGTGCTTGCGCGGTGTCTATCACTTTGCAGGCCAGTACAACATGACGAGTTTCGTCAATAACATGCGTTGCTTTGTAAACCTGCAAAAAGTATTTCATTATGTAATATTCACGTAGAAAACAAATACATAGTCTATTATGGAAATAATTACTTTAACTGACCTTTGCGTAAGATCCTTCACCAACCATTTTGTCCAGTAAGAAACCCTTCTCTTGTAAGATCATTAGATCTGATTGTGTTGTGTTTAGGTCAACCTGATCGGGACACATTTGTTATTTGTCGAACCCGACTATTTCATTTTCACTTTTACCGGGAACATACTGGGTTGTGATGGTAGTGGAAAGAATTTTATGGGGCACGGATATTCATGTTTATTGGTTGAGTTTTACTGCAAATGTTGAAATGAATTCTGTATCTATTGGGATTGATCGATAATTGACATATAGGTTCAACTGTCAAATCAATATTTCATTTAAATAACCAGTATCTAAAAACCAGCCACAACTAAATCCTACATCATAAACTTTTTATGTTAATCCGAATGAAGATGTATCAGATGTAAATCAGGGGTTTCAAGGATGAAATTATCGTTTTGTACAATTTTGCTATGATAAAATATATTTATTTAATTTTCTTAAATATATATTTACTTCAAATGATTTACAATCTCAATATATCTGTATAACGCACTATGAAATGTAATACATTTGTTTATACCCATTCTTGGTTACTCTTTTGTTAAGTATATTTTTTTAAATTGCTTTATGTTAATGACAGGTTTGTACCAAAATAAATGAAAAAAAAAACTGTAAAGAAGATGAATTAAACTTTTCCTATCTCCTCTTGCTATTTCTTGCTCTTCCGATTTCCTCTTGCCACCTGGTTCCTGTAATCCTCAAATTGTAAAAAAATGAGTTTTTATTACTTCCTGGAAATATTGTTTTCCATAAAATAAATCTTAATCGCAGGAAAGTGATAAATAAGGGCGAGATCCCGCATGTTGACGGATGACGGATGTTTTCTCACAGCCGGTTTTGGTAGTGTTAAAACTTTTCCGAGCAGTTTGATGTCTCCATATCATGGTGAAGGCTGATTGACAGGCCGGGGCTGTGGTTATCCTGAGATATTTTTCTATAAACCTTCGCAAACATCATGGGAATCAAAGAATCGCTAGTGGAGGATCTTCATACGATTCTCGTGGCACTGTCTAGAGGTTTTCAAAATCGATCCTTTAAAGTTTAATTATTTTTTGTCACAATGTCGCTTGCAATCACGGCCAGGACTACAGCTGGTTTTACATGTCAGTCACTTTGCATATAATAATACAATATTAAAAAACTCAGAAGACTAAAACTCGTCAGAAGAAACTTTAACGCTATCTGATGACGACGACAGAATAAATATTTTATTTTAATTATTTTACAATTAATCCCCATTTCTATAGAAATATTTCAAATACGCTATATCTCTGTTAAAATGCTATATCTCTGTTACGGCACCTTCGTCGTTTGTGTAATTTTTAGAATATAGTTGACAATATTACTACACATTATAATCAGCAAAATTTTTTTTTTTTTAAAGAAGTCTCCCGCATTATGAATATATCCTTTATCGCGAGGGACTTTGCAAACATACATGAAACGGACACAAAGAACACCCAGACTAAGAAAAACTATTTGTGGATCACACAGTGTCGTCCCACGTGGGGATCGAACTCACAACACTGAGCGTAGTAGTAAGCAGCGATGTGACCGCTTAAACCACTACGCCATCCGTGCAGTCAAAACTCATATTCATATTTATAATAGTAAAATGATACATGTTTGCACACACATACCCTTGAGTATAATTATGCCTTTTCTGTATTACCTTTTAACTATAGGTACGCAGTCACTGTTATAAACGAAGAGGAATAAAAGTACATTTTTACCAAGATGATGTCGAAGCCGTCGTTGCCATATCTACTGTAGTGTTAACAGGGTTCCCTTTCGTTAACGATGATTCATTTTCCACACTACTATCCTTTGTGTCTTGGACACCGCGGACCTGCAACTTCTTTAAGAGCATTTCTTTTTCGTCTCGTGCTTTTTGGAATGCAGTATTTTCTTGAATTGTCAATTCTAAAACAATTTTTTTACTGAATTAAGAACAAACAAAAAAAAATGCAGTCTCCAAATCAAACTAAGTATTAAGTTTATTCCTCAATTATCTTAATTATCCTTAGATATTCAATGTCTGTGTGGTGACGGATTAAGAATACGGAGTGTCACCACCCCTATTCATCCCGTGGGTGTCGTAAGAGTCGACTAAAGGAGCAAACTACGCAGGTCAACAGCACTCCAAAGAGAAGGAAAAATTGACACAAACCCTATACCAACCCGTCTGGCCAGCGTGGTATAGTAGACCAAAACCTCCTTTCTAAGGAGAGGCCTAAGTCCAGCAGTGGACTATTATAGGCTGTTGATGTGATGACGATGTGATGTGATTCATTAGACTAGCTGATGCCTGTGACTTCGTTTGAGTGAAATAAGTGGGTACTTCAGGTATTTGTCCAAGCTGTCATCAACCTCTATGCATATTAAATGAGTATGTAATTATAAAAATATTGAGATATGGGTAACATCTCTATACAAATAAAATAATATGTGATGTAACTCAGTTTCGGGGATTAATACTCTTGAACAAGCCACAGGTAGTCGCCCATTGTTTTTTTTTAATTAACACAAAATCCCTACTATTTAATGGCTTACCGCCGCAAGGTGATATGTTGGTCTTAAACCGACTAACACAAGATGTTTCATCACGAAGTTTTACTTGCCGGGCTGTACCCTATAGAGGAAGTCCCTGGACCAACTAAAAGTAGCCTGGTAAAAATAGCCTATGAAATCATTTCTATTGGTATTGTAGGCATATTAACTTCATTTAAAAATAAAACAAAAACTTAAGTCAATAGCTTTACTTACCTAATAATCTCGAGTCCATTGCTATCCATTCACTGTTTAGTATGTAGTCGATACCAACTCTATTTGCATGATTTGGTTCTAACATCAGTGTTACCAAACGCTTACAATTATCTGATATACAATCAATATATCGCGAGCGAAACTTCCAATTTTTATTTATCTGAGCTTGATATAATTGTTTTATATGTTTGTCCTCGAAGGGCATAGCGCGGTTTAACATTACATAAAGTACCACACCGAGAGACCAAATATCGGTCGGCTTCGGGTAGTAAGGACTACCTTGTAATATCTCTGGTGCTGTGTATGATAGCGATCCACAAAATGTTTCACTGTGAATATCCAAGAAATCTTTATCGACACACATTCTTGCGAAACCAAAGTCGGACAATTTAGCGTTTTGATTAGCAGTGAGAAGCACATTTTCACACTTGATATCTCTGTGGGCTATTTCTAATTCGTGCATGTACTGAACGGCGAGTGCCAATTGCCTCGTCCAGATTCTTGCTTGGTCTTCTTGAACAGCTCCTCTTTGCAGTATGTATTCAAGCAAGTCGCCGTGTTCCATGTACCGCATGAAAATGAAATATTTATATCTTCTCTGAAATATGCTATGTGTATGTACAAGATGCGGATGATTGAGTTTTATTAACATTTCAATTTCTCTTGGTAAAAATTTTTTGACGAAATCCTTAGGCGCTGTGCTGGTGTCGATGACCTTGCATGCTAGTATGGATAACTTGTCATTTTTGTTAGGATTTCTGTATTCTGATAAATAAACCTGTTTTATAAGAAATCGTTAGGGGTTAACAGGGTTAAGAATATAAAGTAACTAGATGCTGGAATGATATCGGCAAAATCTCTGTAGAACAACAAAATTCGACGGCGGTTATCAGTAACTAAAGGAGAACGTAGATATGATATTACATATAAACTCTCATTTTTTTTTTCTGTTACATCACGATCGCTACGAGTAGTTTCATGTGAACTGTGTATAAAGCTACTGTTATATTTCTCACAAAGTTGGCGTTAGAGGGCGTAGGCGCACCTAAGCCGTAACCTCGTACATTGATGTCAAAGATTAAATCTACAAATTATATGTATGTCGCTCTGATACCAACAAATTTGGTACAGGCAGAGACTAAAGGTAGAGTAATATATTTGTATTAAGAGATCTCACGAATTGATTCTAAGTACTTTTACCTTTGCGTACGATCCTTCATTAACTTTTTTTATCATTTTATAACCACGTGAAGCTAGAGTCAATTGTTCTGATCCGCTTAGTTTTAATTCTTCATCAAGACGATGCTGAAAGTTTCACAATATTCTAAGCAAATTTAATGTTTCTGCTAATAAGAAACTAGAATGCTGCTAATAAGAATAAATCAACGTAATTACGTGGAATCAACGTAAACACGTTGATCCATTCTTAACCAACTTAGTAGTGAATTGTGAATTTTAAAAACTCCAGTACTAAGTTAAGTATTAAATCAACTTTAGAGACAATATAGCAATGTATTTTCTACGGAGAACGTAGGTTAGAAGCATACCTATGTGGCAGATAGTTTAATAGAATAGCTTAAAGTTTACCTTGCGAGATTTACCCTCCATCTATTCAGGTTTCTTTTGTCTAGATGTTATGTTAGCTAGAGATTTAATCATTTCACTGGCCTGAAAATCAAAGAAATAAGATTCGTTCACTTTTATTTATTATATGTACTTCAACCCTACGTCCACTTGGAGACTGGTTCAAGTATCTTTACATAGTATGAAATAAGGTCGTTTTTTTCTCGTACGCTTAGATCTTTCAAACTATGCAACGGATTTTAATGCGGTTTTCGCCAATACAGAGAGTGATTCAAGAGGCGGGTTATCGAGAATTTCAAAGATTTGTAATGTGAAGTCTTAAAAAACATGTTTTTGTGCGCTTACATTGCAAACCCTCACTCGGTTGTAGATGGGCACAGACATATAATAGATTGAGCATAGGTATCATTTTTTAATAGGTATCTGTCTGTTAATTTAAAAAAGAGAGTTTGTTGCCCCTTTCAGTTCATAAGGCTCAACCCCTTGGAAACGGGCGGTTGTAGATCGGCACAGGCATATAATAGTTTGTCAATACGTATATTTTTAATACTCAGTACATTTGATTACATGTGGTACAGATGTCAAGCTTATAATTAGATTACGATTATGAACCCTATCGGGCACAGCACAATGTTAGGAGAGAGGTAGACAATTATTATTATTTGAGTCTATACAAAGTTTATGATGTATGGTGATGATTATTAAACACATGTTATATGGTATTATTGCACTATTCAGTCGATTTCCTAATACCGTTCATATCTTAATTAATTTCATTTATTTTTATATTTAGCCTATTAAAATATTTTCCATTTTAATTTGTTGTAGATAAACTTGCTGTCCTAGGTATCTGTTATAATTGTATACATACAAAAATTGGATTCAACTATAGTAAATTTGGTTTTGTTTTAATTAAGTCACTATTATATTACATTAAATGTCATTCGCATACACAATACAAAAATAAATTGGGTTAGTTTAATTCAAATAATTTTCATTCCATACAATGTCAACACAACACAAATAACATTTGTTCTAATTTTGGTGGTATTATAAGATTTGATATTCATTATTGATTTACGCTTTGTGTATTATTCAATTATTGTTTAATGGAATATTCAAAGATATCATCTAAGAATTCTTCTATGCTGTAGTAGCTTCTACTTACTAGGATTTTCTTTAGTTTATTTACAAAGATGTTAATTTTTTCTTCTTTTTTTATGGACTCTGGCAATAACTTATTATAATTTTTTATTGACATGGCCTGAGGAATGATAGACAGGAGGTTAAGTCTATTTTTGTGCCTTAGTGTGTATCTGGTCTGTATATTTTCTCTAGTAGTGTAGTGTTCCGTGTATTTCCGGTCAAATATACAAATTTCTAAAATGTATATAGATGGCAAAGTTAAAATTTTTAGCTTTTAGAAATGGGGTTTACATGTAGGTATCTATTTCTTCTATATTCACTAAAATTCTAATTAGTTTCTTTTGTTGAAAATAATTGGTATTTTAGTAGTACAGTAGGCTATTTGTGTGCTATTTCTCCATAAAATGACGCCAAAGATTAACCAGAAATAAGCATTGGCGTAGTAGGTGACCAGAGCTGTTGCCAGATCAGTAGTCTTTTTTACTTCCAGTAGGAGAATTTTGTCATTTTTGCTACCACTCTCATGACATGCGGCTTCCAGCTTATACGAGTATGAGTGTCTATGGTTAAGCCGAGCAAGTTGAATTGGTTAACAACTTCGAATTTGACGTTTTCAAAATTAAAATCTTTAATTATTAGCGCCTTTTAATGAGGGTGGAAGGGAATTATTTTCGTTTTTGTATAATTCATTTCATGAACTAAAGGTAGTTTGAGTTTGAAATTCTGGCTAAACCTTACAAGGTAGATCAAAATATTGTAATTTTGTATATCTTAGATGGTATATGTCTATCTCCTAAAGTTACCCACATTAACCATTTTTGCCTTTTCAATAAAAAAAAGGGTAATTTACTAAACTATTTGGAACAACACAGTATTATTCCTTATCCAAATAAATACGTTAGATACGTTTGCATTTAATGTAGATCAAAATTGCTTTTAGAGTATATAATTAACATTAATATCTTTTTAGATATCAGAGATTAAAAAACATCAACATTTAAAAAAATAAAATGTTTGAATAAATGTAAAAAAAAACGATTACGTACTCTATAAACAGAATCCCTTTGCGGTTCTACCAGCATGTCCTCATTTCTATTTGATGGGTTTCGAGCGTTCTCTGAATATTTCCGTTTTTCGTCTTTAGCTCGTTTAAGGGCTGCTGCTTCAACTGCATTCATAGCTTTTAATGGATTTTTTATGAGAAAAGAAAGACAATGTTACAACATAACACATTAATATTTAACACAAAATTAAACATCTTAGTAATTAATTACTTACTGGTTAAACGACTGTCCATAGCAATCCAGTCTGAATTTATGATCTGCGTGGCATTGTGACGCAGTCCTGGGTCTGGTTCTAACAGATGTTTAACGAGAGATTTGCATTCAAGTGTGATCATGCTACCTATTCGAGATCTGAACCTGTACTTTTTTCCCATCTGTTGCTCATATAACTTTCTCATTCGCGTATCATCGAAAGGCATAGATTTATTCAACATAACAAACAACACTACGCCCAACGACCAGAGATCTGTTGGTTTGGGCTGGTAAGGTTTTCCACGTAAAATTTCCGGCGCTGCATATGACATGGACCCGCAGTACGTTTCGCTTAGCACAGGCTGGTCATCGTCATCCACGACAAACCGTGCAAAGCCGAAGTCTGAGAGCTTAACGTTAAAGTTTGCCGTCAACAGAATGTTTTCGCATTTGATATCGCGGTGTGTTATTTCTAGTTCGTGGAGATATTGCAAGCCTAGCGCAAGTTGACGCATCCACACTCTCGACTGATTCTCTGACACTGCACCATTTTTTAATATATAACCCAACAAATCGCCATTCTCACCATATCTCATAAAGATGTAATACTTGGTTTTCCTTTGAAATATACTGTGGACATGAATCATATGAGGATGATTCAAACGGATAAGGACGTCTATTTCGCGCGGTAAAAACTTTATAACAAAGTCTCTCGGGGCTTTTAATGTTTCTATAACTTTACATGCCAGTATAGCTTTATGATTATCGGTTTTGCCAGTATACTCTGTTAAAAATACCTGAGAAGACATTCATTCAGTAATTAACACCTTGTGAGTGTGTAGTGTTAAATGTAAAATATAAATATAACAATTTCTTTGTTTCACTCACCTTAGCGTATGCTCCCTCACCCAGAAATTTTAATAATTTATAACCTTTAGACGACAAAGTGTTCTCTTCAGATGGAGTTGTTTTCAGATCGGTCATGTTAATTTACACATGAGGTTAAACATAAAACACCGTGTTTCCCACGCACCGACCTCATACATACCTTTTCTGTTCGTCGGTCGACTGCTCATTTCCAAAGAGAACGTAGGCATGTTTACTTTATTTGTGTTACATTACTAAAATTTATTATATTTACTTTTTTTTGAGATAATGATTGTGTATATGTCAAAGAGTGTCAGTTTTGTGTCTTGTTGGCAGTTACTGCTATTCTTCTTAAATAAATACCTTTTGGTCGGCAATAGACTCTTGAAGTATCATACAAAAGAGTGTTACGTAGAAAATTAACGCTCTAAGAGTGCGGGTAGTTTATTCGATCTTAGAAGATAGATTGACAGAACCAACCAGATATTTAAATCTAACGAACTTCTAAATTAAAGGATTTCATTAAAGTCGTAAAACGTCGACGCAAAGAGAAAATCGAGGTTATAATAATAATTGTGTCTATTAGGACAATTTTTAGGAAATTTGTGTCTGTTGCCGTGTTGTGATACATGAATATGCCTTGCTTAAGCTTATATTTTTTCAATCTCAATCGTCCACTTGGATATATATGTAGGAAGGCCCGCTGCAGGCTGTTTGCCGCCCCATGATACACCGAAAACTATCACCCGGTATGAGAGATCAATAATTTTACTATGGGAATAAAAATCAATAGATTATTATGCCATTATTATGGTTATGACTTAATAAAAATATATTAGACATGTAAATTAGGAGAATATTTTATTTTTCGATTTCTTTAGTTATTTAGTTTTTTTTTTTGTTTTGTATACATTTTCTTGAAATTAACTTTTAAAGTTTTTGATGTATCTAATTATAGCAAATGTATCTAATAATATATAATATCATAGAATATTTTCATGCCTAGAGGTAGAATAATGTTGTTTTATTATTATATTGTAACACCTTATTGTCCAACCCATGATTGATTGATATCTGTGTTTGCCGCCCCTTCGAAAATGCCGCGCGTAACCGGGGTTAGGTTTAAAGAATTTATTCTCAAAAAGGCAAACAAAGGCACTTACTTTAGAATGTAAAATAACATTCTCCAAATTTACACTAAAGCTTCGCCGACTAAACTATCTGAAGCTGTCAACGACATTAACAAAGATCTGATAAAAATATGCACCTGGAGTTAGGAGTATGGGCTAAGAGTAAATCCATGTAAAACTTAGGTAATTATAGTAGATAGTCCTAAAAAGAACTTTACAGGAAATCGCAACAACTGTCGGCTATCTATTGCGATGGGTCCAGTATTCCATGTAGCGACAAAGTTAAACACTTGGGAATCTATATGGATAAGTTCTTGTCCCCCTCCCCCATAAACTGGTAAGGTCAGTCGTAAATTATTTGCTGCCGTGGGGTTTCTTCGAAGACTTCGTAACTTACTTCCTACCGATAAAAAAATTGCATTAGCACAATCTCTTCTTTTTTGTATCCTGGACTATGATGATGTTAGCTATCTAGATCTCACCGAATACCAATTGAACAAACTTGAACGTCTTCAAAATGTCTACATAAGATTCATATTCAGTTTACGCAAATAAAAGTATCGTACTAAGCTAAAATGGTTACATATACCTAGGCCTTCGCCGAAATGTTCATATGCGAGAGAACTAATAGAAGGAGAAACATTTTACACAATACCTAATCTGCTCTTCCCAGATACTCTACACTTCTATTCCAAAGAACGTCTTGAATTTTTACACAATGCACATAGCATGTCCTTGAGATCGTCAGAAAATATGAAGTTAAAAAAGCCCAGGCACGCTACACAATTTATTTACTGACAAGTCGATCTTAGTACAAGCAGTTCGACTGTAGAATGACTTACCTGAGGCAAGATAAATCATTGCAAGTACTTATTGAAAAACAAGTCACAAGTCACTTCCCTGACATTATAGAGGAATTGTGTATTAGTGTATTTATGGACCCCTGTATATACCTAGGTATTTATATATGATGTATGTATTTAAGTTTATAAGTTGCATTGTAAGCATGGATACTGTAAACGTACGTAGTAACTTTATATTTAGTTTACTATTCATTATTTTCAATATGTTGCAGTAGTACATTGCAGGCGACCCTAATTTAAACAATTCAATTCTCAATGACAATATCCATATAAAGTTTGTCCGTAAGAGATCGCCGTGAGCGATGAGACCACCTATGTTTGTACCGAAATGTATATAATATCTGTACAGATAACACTGCAGTCATCATCATCATCATCAAAAGCCTTTAATAGTTCACTGCTGGACATAGGCCTCTCCTTAGAAATGAGGTTTTGGCCTACACTGCAGTGGTGTACAATAAAGAGATGAAGAAATAAAAAAATAAAAAAAACATTGTGATATGTTTAATTCATTTCATTAGTGATTAAGGACTAACGGGTGAGGATTCTTCATAATACAGTTCGTGAGTACTGTTATTACAACATGAACCTAGTTGAGAGAGATAAGCTCTAGCTAGTTTTATCATTTAGGCAGAGAAAAGAATCAATAGATAATAAATATTTTATTATTTCAACTTAAACATAACAAAATATACAAACATAAAAACAAGGCACCTATAATATACATCACATTTCTAATTGTTTTTTATTTAAAAACTCGCCGGCTAATGATATTCTTTGCAAGAAAGATGGCGCTGGCGTCAACAGTAGCTCGTACCTTTTTGTATCTGAATGATCTGGATATCTCTTCTCCTTGCGTATTCGTTCGAGCAAGTGTTGAGGTTCACATTTCTCTCTCGACTTCCAATCACTATTTAAGAAGTCTTGTATAACCTTTGGTAACATTTTGAAAACTTCTCTTGCTCTGTTCCCACTCGGTGTCTGCAATGGTTCAATATCTTGCGAGTGTTGCGGTACTATAATATCATCTACGTCAAATTTGTTCTCATATTCAGTTGACGACGTATTTTCTTCCAAAGAGGTAGTTGAATCTTCTTTTTGTTCTAAAGAGTTAGTATTGTTATAGTAACTATTAATTCGCTCTTTTACAATGTCGACTAACGATTCATTCTTTGTTTTCTCTCTCTCTGTGCCGTCAATATTCACATATCCAGTTCTGGTCTCAGTCTTAATCAAAACTTGATTTTGATCCAGTTTTTCCGAGATTTCATTTTTAAAGTCTGGCTCAGAAATATTGACGGCTTCTTTTTGTTCAATAATTGCAGTAGTATCGTTAATAACTTTTTCTTTAGATGCTTCTATCATAGTCATGAACTTTATGTTGTCTTCTTCTTCAAGTATCTGATATATTCTATGTACTTCGCTTATATTTATTCTGAAAAATGGACAACGGTCTCTTTATTGCACGATTGATTCGTGATTGTACATTAACTTGGGTAATAATGGTGTATTGGATTGGGTACACTTGTGTTAGTAAAATGAATATTTATTTATTAATAGGCATACACGACCCTAAATTGTAACTATACACAACACAACTATACACATATACAACAAATATTTCTTTTAATAGAGAAAATTAATAAGACAAATATTTACTCTTACAATCAAAGTTTTCCTAACATGATTTACCACGATAGTGATCTGCTTCACGGCTTCACAGAAACCGTGTGACTGATTAACAGAACCACTGCTACTTTATTATTATTATGACGCTACCGCAAGACTAGCGAAGGTCTAAATAAAATAAAAAGATCTTAATCTTTGATAAATAGAATTTTGATTGATGTTAATGCCATTTATCTTTGTCTATTTCGCAATCACGATCACATGTGTAATCGCTGTGACTAAGACCAATCATTTAATCGAATGAATATGATTTAAAAATAGCAATAATTTCGATGACTGCTGCAAGTCTAAACGGTGGCAATGCAATTATCTCTTGAGGAGTCCATGGGCGGTGGTATTCACTTACCATCAGGTGACCTATCTGCTCGTTTGCCAGCCTCTACCGGGAATAAAACATTACTAAACTATGTTATACTTAAATATTTACCCATGTTTAGCTTCATGGCAGCAGTACAACATAGAAGGATCTATGGGGTGCGCCTCTGTATTGAACACGTATCCGCCGAGATCAACAATACATTCACCATTGGGCGTGTTGATGACAGTCCCGTGTACGCCCGGATTATGAATAAAATTGTCCGGGTCAAATAGCAGATATAGATACTTCGTAGTCTCGGCGAGGAAAAATGATTCCATACGGTCTTCTTGGCGATGGTCGCGGACATCTTTTATCTACAAGAAACGGAAAGTTTTAAATGATTAGAAAATCGATTTATCTTTTGGTCGATTTTTAATGTAATACCACGTCGACAATTCTTGTATATCTTTTCATGAAAACCGTAGTGTTGTTGGTGTTATATATAGTAAAAATTGCTTTTTAAAAGTAAAGAAAAAAGAGAGATCAGAGAGAACCTACCTTACTAGGTACCTAATCTTCAATTGGGAACCTAATCAAGTGAATTCGAACTAGGATCTGTCCATTTGCCAATATTTTATAATTTACCAATTTCTTATACCTAATTCACGCTTAACTGTTTAACTGTTCAACTGTTCAACTTACTTAGCGGCCTTAATCCTTGATTATAAAAAAATCGGGCACTACGTTGTGAAAATAAAAGAGATAGATATTATGTTAACTTACAGTAGCATAACCGCATGGTGTCCTAGCACTATGCTGAATACTCCTTAAAATGTCTTCACCCATTTGGAGAAGTATAGGGTCACGGGTATCTCGGTACAAGTACATAATGGACTCGATGAGTTCCGGTCGCAATGGATAGCTTTCCCTGGAAGATGACGCCTCACCCGTCCCGAGGTTATACACTTCAGGCGTGAATCCATATTGTCGCCATACACTGTGGTAGTTGTGTATTATACGCATAGCTGTGTCGCTTTCGCCTTAAATATAGTATAGCATTGAAAATAATAAAAATATCAAGTAACACCCACAAAAATCACTTGAATTGACCACCTCTTTTTATAGTTATCTCCTTTTCTTTTTTATAAATGCATAATTATATAATAATAGATATAGATAGTAGAAATCTATAAAAAATACCATGCGTTTTTTAATTAAAAAACATCTCAACAAGCAAGTTTCAGTCAACATGAATTAAAAGTCCAATACTTACCAATAAGACTGAGTACCCCGGGCCAATAAGATTCAAGAGACTGAAACACAGGAAGAGTTACGTGACCACGTAGCATAGTGGCCCAAACGAACCAGTCATCCTTCTTCAAGTATTTCTCTATGGCTTGTCTAGCTTCAATGAACATTGACATCAGTTCCGGCTTCTCAAATAAGATTGCACCTTAAGATATAAAATTGTTTTCTAAATCAACTAAACTAAAATCACTAAAATTTATCACTTAAATCCTGTATAATACTACGTTTTCAGAATAGGAAACGTTGTTTGACAGGACTAAACAATTTTTTTGGGATTTTTAGTTTAGAGAGTGCGAACGACAGAATTAGCACCATTATAAGTTACCTTTAACTAAATATTCGTAATAAGAATCAACGCCACCACCAATACCAGCGTCCTGCGCTGTCCAACGGCCAGTCATAACATCAACATGATTACCAACCAGGCCAATCGGAGATTTATGATGGTATAAGGCTTTCAAAGCATTGTAAGCTACCTGAAAAACAGAACTTTAATTAATTATTTTTATGAAATTTGGGGCACGCATGCAAATGGTTCACCTGATGGTCTATGACTATCGTCCCTCATGGACACATGAAAAGCTCAAGAGAAACAAATTAGTTGCCACCATTTAAGTACACCCTCCCCCCAGAGAAGTGAGTGAAGAAGTCTAGCTCTAAGAGAGCTAGACTAGAGCCGACTAAGGGAGCAAACTATGCAGGTCAACAGCACTGCAAAAAGAAAGAAAACTTGACATAACAACCCGTCTGGCCAGCGTGGTATAGTAGGCCAAAACCTCCTTTCTAAGGAAAGGCCTATGTTCAGCTATGGACAGCTATAGCTATGGACTATTAATGGCTGTTGATGTAAAAATGAAAAAAATTAAAAGAAATGCAAATTGACACCAGGCTTTAGTAGGCTGTGGTATCACTCTGGAGCAGTGCTGTGAGAGTCATGCACATAATATGAGCCCATTCCATGGTACAACTATATGTTCCATTATGATGGAGCAATAGTTTTACTATGGAAGAGTCTCCCATGTAGGGAGAGTATCTTGTGAGATACAATTATCTACCATGCTACCTAATAATACACACCTCTTCATATATTGGATCTCCAGTAAGCCGACTTAATGTACCAAATTCTATAATAAAAGTGCCCACTCCTGCAGTACAAGTAACACTGGTTTCTCCTGGTGGCACACCAGCTCTCAGATTGATTGTTCCATATGGCATGCCTGTAGTTGTATCAAATGCTGCTATTAACCTTTGAGCTACGTCCTCAGCTAAACGTAAGAGGGGGCCATTACATGGCCATCCTGGTTCTAATTTTGTTCCAGTTCTAAAATGTAATAAAATTGCTGTATATTTCATTAATAGTATTTTATTTTGAAAATAGTTTTGAGTTCTAATGCACACAGCACTAATGTTGGGATAGGCACAATATTATTTTTTTCTTGTTGATGCAACTGGAATGCCTTAAGTAGTAAATATTGTAGACCAAGCTGTTGGAAAACAATACTTCATTAATAACAGTAGCTTCAATTATTAAAAATTAAGACTCTTTTCACTTTTAAAACATACATGCAAAACATAAAAAAATAGTTTCTTGCGTCACAGAGTACCTCAATTATTTATAAGTTATTCTATAACAATTTCTCTGATTCGGGTTTAAGTACTTACTTATGTGATAAAAGGTGGGCACTTAAAAGTCCTCCTATTATCCTAATATTAGTTTCAAATACAGAAACATTGATGTCTGCATCAAAGTTCTTTTTCTGCAACACTATGTCAACGACACGGTTAAACTCTGTGTAATTGCCCATAATAGCAAGAGTGTCAAGGGCATCTATAAGCGTGAGGGAGTAACTTCCCCATGTATCTACACCGTCACAACTCAGTGGACGTAACTCGTCATACGGGTATGCATATCTTAAATAACTATCGTATGCATGTTGAAACATCTCCCGGACCTCTTCCCTGAAATATACAACATTAGGATACTTATTAAATTAATCAAATACATACATAGAAGTCTCAGACAGGTAAATAATATTTTGTTATCACCTCAGGCGCAAAATATCAGTTTTTTTGTAAACTCTGACTGAAAGACATGGCTCGATGCTCAGTAAGGTAATGAAAACAGATGTTAAAATTAATTTGTGTACACAGCTATTCATTTTTTTTAATTTATATTTTAATAAAATTAATCATTAATTCAAAGTTTACACCAAGTCAGCAACTTAAGTCAGTCAGTTAACTGACTTTGATTTTTGACATCTTGAAATTGACACTGACAGTGATGACGTAGAATCATTCGTCATACTACAGACAGAGGTTTCACGTTCTGAGATGGCTACCGGCGCATCTGACGCATTAGCTGTAGACTAAAACTAGCTCTAAATAATCCTACCAGAATGTTTTATAAGGAAACAATTCTATTGATGCTGAAATATCCAAAGGCATAGTTATTTTAAAAGTATCCAAAGGCACTCAAATCTCAAGCAATATTGATTACAATTTATTTTGTAAAATACACCAAGAGGAAGGCGTAACATACAAAATGCTGACTACTACAATTTTATTTTAAGCACGAATATCTTTTTATCTTCACCATCTTTTTCATCTGATTTGAACAAGATGTATTTGATACATTACAAAATCTTAAAGCTTTACAAAGAATTAGGAAATTATTCGAAAAACTCTTGGTTTTTCGAATCATTTCCTAATTCTGTGTAAAGCTTTAAGATTTTGTAATGTATCAAATCTGCTTTCATGTTCCTACTTATCTGCTGACAGCAGATTCCTTGAGATTTCTGGATAAAATTAAAATATAGCTTACATCCTCCTCTTAAAGTCACTTCTGACTACAATAGACACCTCCTTCCAATATGTATCGATATCGAGGTCATTAAATTAAAAATTTAAAAAGCCCCGACACATATCTTGGATTTGAAATTTGTCATAGTGTATAGTGTCGTACTAGTCAACCCCTTTCATTTGATACCCATATTGAGGGAGTTGTGAAATATGTAATCCGCCATTTTATGGCGGCGGCCACCTTAGACCGAATTTTATCAAACATAGCTAAGAACACTGCCGACTAATACACCTTTCAAACAAAACAAAATCAAAATCGGTTCATCCGTTCGGCAGCTACGATGTCACAGACAAACACACACACACACAGACACGTCATACTTATAACACCCCGTCTTTTTTGCGTTGGAGGTTAAAATGATTAATAACTGGCTGATTTTTTACTGTTGCTTAGGTAATATTTATAAAATTAACAGCTACATTGTCCTACATATTGCGTGGTATGTTATCCCGGTCCAACAATCAAAAGTTCAAAACCTCCTTTCTAAGGAGAGGCCTATGTAGTACAGATCCCTGATGTAAAAATAATTAGATACTCTCGATTTCGATATTTATACGAATAAATACGGTTCGGTCGGTTTCGATGAGACACCCAACCATTTCCTCTATGAAAATTTTCGATTGTGGTAGCTAACAGGGGTAGGGATAAAGCACGTCGATTTGACGATCCTCAAAAAGTTATTAACTACTAAATATATAATTTATTAATTATTAACGCGTGATGTTAATTGGTCCTATTTAAGATTACTGCAATCAGTGTTGTTACAAACAGAAAAACGAAAATGGCAGTTCTTGTCGGACTAGTGATACATACATGTTTTCTTGTAGGACATTGCTTAATTTGGATAGAAAACACACTAACCTATTATGTAATATTTTTCTTTTCTTGATATGATTTCATCAATAAAGGACAAAACAACAATTTCATCAAATTTAAGGCTAAACGTTGATTTCATCAACGTTCAGCCTTAAAGTTGATATTCAGAGAGCCTCGCACAAGTCAGTGATCACTACCGGTATTAAACCTATTGATTACTGAGACGTCTCTGTGTGCTTCCTATCAGTCATGATGAAAAGGATCTCATTTCTGGCAATAGCGTCTAAGCTTTGCCACGACCCCCGAAACGGTACGCGAATGGCGCGAGCCATTTAATAACAAAAACACAGTGAGTAATAAGTTTTTGATAATCGTCAGATCAACATATTATTTCATCCTTGCTACCCCTATTAGCTACCACAATCGAGAATTTTTGTAAGAGAAATGTTGGGCGTCTCATCAAAATGAAGCTAGTCAAATTAGCTAGTCAAAGCTAGGCAAATTAGCTTGATAGTAAATCAACTGTAAAAATGGACTCTGGATCCTGGTCTAATATTATTATAAAGTACTCGTATTCGTGTAAATAAATGTTGTCTTTTGGTTAAGATTTTATTTAGTTAGGTGACCTATTTTGTATTCTGCCAAGTTGTTCTTTCTTTATGTTAGATGCTTAGGTATTGTAAAAATGTACGTTGCATCCTACTATATAGAATTAAAATATTTGAACATTATAAAGTTGTACGAAAAGACAACGAAAATGACGAAGAACATTCGAGTTTCGTATATTTAAAATGTGTTAAGGAACAAATTGATAACAGTTTTTATAAATACCTACGTACAATTTTTTACGAGTTTGAAAAAGGTTTCTCAATATAAACAAAAACAAATATTAATCATAAATATTACATTTATTAATATAAACAAAAAAGCAATGTCACTTTTTTTTGCCTTTGCCTTTGCCTTTACCTTTACCTTTTGGTTGTGGTGGTGGTGGAACAGGCTCCGGTTCAGGTTCAGGTTCCGGCTCTTTTTCTACTGAGGGATCTTCATCAGGATCATCGTACAAATATTCTGCCTGAAAATAACCTTAACGTTAAAGTTATATTTCAAATCAATCTTAATTTTTTTACTGAGTCTGACCTAATTAGACATGAAAGAACGCCTGCAACTCAGGAGCCACAAGCGCGTTACCAGACTTTGAGGAAGGAGTACGCTCTTTTCTTGAACGTTTGAAGGTCGTATCGGTCGTATCGTTATATAAATATCATGCACTTGTCTGATCATTATGTAGTCAAAAATAGTTATTCATTAGGCTATTTAAAGGCACATTGTTTTACCTTTTCTTCATATAGTTCAGGGCAAACACTAAAGATGCTTTCAATAAAGTCCTCGTAGATAATTCTCCCGTCACCGTTAATATCAGCATCTCTCAAAACTTCTATAGTTTCGGCTTCGTCAAACGCATCCTCAAATCCAGTTACTATGGCATTAATGTCATCGCTTTCTAAATAATTTCTATTTTCCGTATCAAAAACCTGTAAAAAAATTAAAATGTACACTCATTTTAATAAATTCGAAACATGAGATGAACTCAAATATGAGATTGAAGGGGCCATCATATTTTTTAATTTATTAACTATGTCAGTAGGCACACGGGACAAGTAAACTTTCCACTGATTACATAGAACAAGTAGGTATATTTGATATTCGTTAAGGAATATAGTATTAATAATTAATTATATCATGTGAAGGTTGGTGAAATTATGTTTCTTTGCAAATTTTGCAGTCTTTTCAATTTTAAGTTATGTTTGTACAGTTTAGTTACAATGGTATTCTGTTTTATTTTGGAATTACATATTGGTGTGCGGAATTTTAATTATTTTGTATGCCAACGTTTCTCTAGCTCTTCCCTTAGGGCAAACGCTCATAATAATTAATAGTTAAGTCTCTGACAGCCTTTTAATGGTGCAAAATCAGTCCAACCATTTATTTGGTTAGCACGTAATGAAATGAGTTTCCAGATTTATTAAATGTGGGATTATTTTTCTCATTCTAAAGACAAACGGAATCTAATTAACAGAATTATATAGCGGCAAGAAAAAAGTGTACAAAAGCCAAAGCAACTAACAGTAAACTATCTACATATACATTAAAGAGTGGCTACAAAAAATATATTTTAAAGAATCCTGTTAGGTACTCGTAAGTATGCACCTTAAACGCAAGTTGTAGTTCATGCTTTATCTCTGGTTCAATGATCCAGGAGTCTAACATATAAATAATTTGGTCTTTCATTAGCAGCCGTGTTGTTCCGGCTTTCAACTGTTCTGCTTTCACCATGATTTCAAAATAACTAGGATATTGAAAACTTCTTTTGTGGAATCTGTAATAATAGAAAGTATAATAGTCTTAAAAATACAATACAATATGCTTTAATGTAAAACGAAAATATAAATTACTTCTTCTTCTCTATCGTGTCGACCTTGGCAGAGCGGTCGTGGTCATATTAAGATGACCACGTCGGCGTTAGAGGCGGACACAGCCCTTCGTACAATCTTCCGCCATCTCTCCCTGTATGCAGACTGTCGGATAAAGTCAAAGAGTCAGTCGATCCAGTGCATAGGTACCCTGCCGCGGAATCTAGTTCCCTCCACCTTTCCCTGCACTACCATCCGCTCTATGAAGTCGCTATTTCGTCTAGAGATATGGCCAAAGTAATGCAGTATGTACGACTGTACTGTGATTGACAGACACTCTGTGATGCCGAGCTCATGGAGTATGGACACGTTGGTCCCAAATTTCGTCCACGATATCCCGGGCATTTTCCTCATCTACCGACACTCTGTGATGCCGAGCTCATGGAGTATGGTCACGTTGGTCCCAAATTTCGTCCACTTTCGAGCATTTTCCTCATGTACCACATCTCTGGAGTGTCTATCTTCCTTTTTTCCAATCCGCGTTCTGTCCACATCTCTGCGGGATATAGAAAGACGGGGAATATGTTGGAATATGTCCGCTGCCAATACAATGAGTTTCGCTTAAGCCACAGATGTTCAAATGGGTTCTAACTACTTCCCGTTCCAGTATGGTAAGTTTTCCAGGTTGGTTTAGGCCACGTATACTTGATTTCCAGTAGTAGAATTTCTATGGAAAATCTGGTGACCTACCTCGCTATGGCTATTAGTGTAGATCAGTTTAGAGGTGTACTCAACTTAGTAAATTGCAATAATCAAGATCCCTGTATCTAAGATTCCTATAGATGAAAACACTTTATAACAAACTTTCTGCAGTCGGGAATTTCAGGAACATGTTTTGTCGACCCAGACGATGAAGACCCAGTTTTTTTACCATGCTAAAAAAAGGTAAAAGGAGTCATTTTACTCTTTTTTCTCATGTGCGGAAATCCCCGACCAAAAACCGCACGACGGTGGAGTTCCATGAGCTCTCGCCACCAGACCATGGCCATAATCATGGCACTTCCCACTGCGAAATAATAACCCTAAAAGCAGAATGAATATAAAGACTCCTCTTAATGACGCGACACGATTAATGGTTGGGGCATGTTCTGCACGTCAATTAGCCAATCAAGGTACCTACTTAATAAATCATTATGTATATCCACCGTTTATGCCATCAGCATAAAATTAATTTTAGTGAATAGCTATATAGATACATACAAGGCTTTTTTATTAAGGCTAGAGGGTACATACTTTTTTAGTTCCAGAAATTTTATAAATCTTTCAATAGATACAGCTTTAACAGGTTCTTCTTCAATAACTAGTAACGGTTTCGCAATTGTATCAAACCAAGTATTTATCATTTCTAATTGCTCTTCTGTCAAACGTGGCACAATTCCTATTAGAGGATTAAAAGGATCAAAAGCGGTCATTGTTAAATATTTAAAGCAATGTTGCTAAAAGATATTGTAAAATTTTATAGAAAATTTAAATATACCATAGTTCTTTAAATAACTATGGTGATGTAAAACAAACTCTGTGATGTAAAATATACCAAAGCACAGAGTACAGTAATTACCAAAGATCTCAGGAAGCAATAATCTCTAGACATAACACAAGTTTATAAATGAAGACCTCTTTGAGTCAAGTCAAGAAAAGTTAAAGTTCTAATCTGTTTAATTACCATTTTAGTAATATATGAATTGCAGGTATAATAATGTAGTTCCTACACGTTTGTAGCGTTTGTGTAAAAAAAGATAGAGTTTTCATCTTTTTTTTCTTAAATACGTTCATCAGCAGTCTGGTTTGGGATCAGACGGCCGTGTGTGAGATGTGTGGGATGTATTATTATTATATTTCAAAGATCTCTTTCTTTTCTTTAAAAAAGATAACTCCCGCAATAGTAATAAATCCAACGTCGCAGGGGACTTTACAAACATACATGAAAAGAACACCAGACTCAGAACAACAATTTGTGCATCACAGAAAGTGTTGTCCTATGTGGGAAAAATGGGGATCTATGTTATTTAAATAGGATTAACATCTGTACACTTTCTTTAAACAGGACTAATACGTTAGCTAATTTTAATATTAATCAAAATTGTAAATATTGTAGAGGTTCAAGGCAAAAGTTCGAAATTAACTAGTCATAGACACAACTCTTTTTAGCAACCGCAATTTCATTGGTCGAATTTTGAATAATCATAGACTACAGACTAACCCAAACTGCACCAGCTGAAAAGTATTATAATGTCTGTTGTCCGTTGACGCTTCGGTTGCATTTTGAGGGTGTATTTGGTTTTATCGGCACTTATTTACAAGTCTACTCTCTACATTTTAACAAAATGTGCCATTAGTGAAGAAAGTTGCACGCTTCCGCTTTGATCGCCCTTATTACATTCAGATAGTCCGCCTAAAGCTGGTCTGATAATTCGGTAGTGTTTACGGAAGCGGGGGCAATGGCTTTTAGAATACACGAAGATCAAGAAAATGCCTCCTTGGGGCTTAGAAAAGACAACGTTGATGTATTTGCAAACCAGCGGCGTGCCCTTGGTGATCTCAGCCAATTCGCGTGCAATCAAAGTCGTAACCTGAAACTCGTGAGTATTTTGTCAGCATTAACATGTACAAGTTACTAGTTCTATTTTCCTTATAACGTATTGTTTTTAGCCGGTATTGACGAATGGACCTTGTAAAGTTCAAGATGAGAATAGAACAATGCGTCAGATCAAAAATGAAAAAAATATTGTGCCACCCGTGGCGCAATTTCGCGCGTTCAATGTTTACGAAGACAAGCCAACGGAGATTGATTTAAAAAAAAGGGAGCCTACTTTTAAGCCTTTTGTTGCTAAAGAAATTAAGAAAGATAGCATATTTAATATCAATGAAAATGTTAAAGCAATTTACTCAAAAGCAGAAAAGAAATCAGACAGGCAAATCGATGTACCTTCAACTCGGTAAGTAGATTTATAATTTCCATCATCATATCTGACTTTACACATTGATTGAAATTATGATTATGCCATTTGATATCAACTATATAAATCAGTAGGTCTTATTAATTTCTAAATCTTTGCATCATTTAGCCCTCCACTACAAGAAAAGAAAAATGTGATCGAGTCCCCTATGTCAGTTGTGGACACCAGTGTGCTTTCAATGTCTGTATCTAAAAATGAAAGTCAAATACTTGATGATGAAGATGATGACACTATCACCGCTCAGACTGACCGATCAATGTTCTTCCATGTTGTGGAATACAGGCAAGATATTTATGAGTACATGAAGGAAATTGAGGTAAGTTATATATTGTGTCATCATATTTTATTGGCAAGAGTTAGAAAAATATTTGTTGAAATTCAATTTGCATTTCATAAAATTGAACATGAATTATTTAGTGTATCTATTGCATTTTTATACATATAAAATTCTAAAACAATAGACAAAGTCACTGCAACAACACTTTTCATATATTATGATCTATCAAATATGGGTCTAACTCTCTTATGTCTGTAAAAATTCACAAACCAACTAAACATAAAATGCTTCCTAACTATTTTAGTTAGTTATGCGATTTGTGAATTTGTTCATACGCAATAAAAGTAAAAACCCATATTTAATGAAATGTATTAAAAAGAAATGTAATTTAAGCACATCTATAGTATAGAAAAAAAAAATACAGATATACACTTTTATTACACATGTACATTAACCTTGACACACATTCTACATTCAGGACAGATTGTGTAGGCATTGCAATCAACATGACTTTACTAAAGTAGTTAAAGATGACTTCTATCTGTTATGCTCAAAGACTGAAAATACTCATTGAGCAAAAACAATAGCACACCACTGTGAATCACACAAGCTCCACAACATCTAATCAAAACATTCATGATATATTGTGGTGCTCACAGAAAGACCACATACTACAATCTGTGTTGTGACCATCAGGATTATATGTCCACAACTAACACAAATTAAGTGATGTGATTGCCATACATTACACATAAGAACCATGACACAAGTTTAGGCATAATAATAAGGCTTACTTGGTAAGCCTTATGTTAAATAAATAAAAAATAACAAGAGTTTTGTGTTGTAGATTGCTACAATGCATTGTGAGCTGTTTTTATTTAACTCAATGAGCATTTTCGGTATTTGAACACATTATATTATTACTATTACTGAATGTATTTTCTATTGAATTTGTTATAATTCATGTACATCCTTTTAACTTGATTCTTGCAAGTTAGTGAACTTTCCAACGGAATAAATTAAAAGTTTACAATGTAAGCAACTGACTGAAGCCAATTCCTATCAAACATTCCTCTTAAATAACTTTTCTTCTTTAGATAAAAAATAGAGCCAACCCCCGCTACATGCGCAAGCAGCCAGATATCACTCACTTAATGCGTTCAATCCTCATTGACTGGCTAGTTGAAGTCTGTGATGAGTATGGACAACAGAGTGAGACATTGCACCTGGCTGTGTCTTATGTTGACCGCTTTTTGTCCTACATGAGTGTGGTTCGGACAAAATTGCAACTTGTGGGCACAGCTGCTACTTATATTGCTGCGTAAGTATTTCAAAACCATACAGTACTAATAAATACATTATAAAAGCATAATGTAAAAACCTTTTAAACTTAAAAAAAGTTGTTTTTCATTTCATTTGAGCAAATTTAGGTCACATATTCGATTTACCTAAGAACCTATAAAGAAAATGTAGTTTGTTATGGAATATGCAAACACTTAAACACAAGTATTTGCATATGCAATTACCACATAGCCAATCATCGTATGAATGAACTAAATCAAATAAATTTTGGTAAAGTTCTATCTCTGTCCATGACTAAAAATGGTGTTTATTTTAGCTTTTTTATTTTGTATACTTAGCTTTTTAAATTAAAATATTTTACTATACCCTTTTTTATATTTATACAGAAAATATGAGGAAGTATATCCCCCTGAAGTGTCTGAATTTGTATACATTACTGATGATACATACACAAAGCGTGAGGTACTTCGCATGGAACATCTCATCTTAAAGGTGCTGTCGTTCGACTTGTCAACTCCTACATCACTGGCATTCTTATCCCACTACTGTATATCCAATGGATTATCTCAGAAGACATTCCACTTAGCTTCTGTGAGTATGCAACATTGATGGTGCAGTGGTAGCATATGCGACTACTGTATGTATGATCTGCAAATATTTGTTTCGGAGTTTGGAGGTTTTCTATGTGTAATATATATGTATTTACAAAAAAAAGTATAGCAGTATTCTATCAGTCAATCGCGCTTTCATACTACAAGCTCTGCTTAGTTTAAAACTTGATGGTGTTGGGTGTTAGATGTTCGAAAAAAAAAACACTGGTGCTTATGCTTTGCAAGTCTTATTCTAAATTAGTATAGTTCTTAATACATTGACAATGCTACGTTTACACTTAGCGGCAGACAGTGCAAAGACGTTCAAATTTTCAAAGTAATTATTGTAAGCATTAACCAGTTAGAATAAACTTTTTACTATACTCTACGTTACTTTGACATGGCTTAGTACTTAACAGGCGACCCGCCCGTACTGCTCGTTTTAGCACTTTGCGCGGAACAGTAGCACAATTTGCCAGTGAGATCACAATCATACTTATTATAACACAGATTGACAGAGTTTGACTAATTGTTAAAGTATAATCTGGCATTTGCTTTGAGTATCCTTAATAACTAGTTTAGACATATTTGAAGTGAAGCATTCTAAAGCTGGTGTACATAGGTTAAAAAATTTATAAACCTTTCAAATGTGCTACAATAAAACTGACTTTAGTAGCATTACTTTCTTAGAAGTTTTAGTTAGTAGGTATAAGTATAGTTACAGCACTGTGTGTAACATTTATTAAATTTTTATTGTCACTATGTAATATATAAGTAGTTCTAGTATAGTGAAACCAGCAGGAATAACAATTAATACATTTATCACTTCCTGTAGTATATTGCTGAACTCAGTCTCCTGGAAGCAGACCCATATCTTCAGTTTAAGCCATCCATCATCGCGGCGAGTTCATTAGCAACAGCGCGTCACTGTCTTCTGTGCGAGAGATGTGTGGGTGAAGACAGGACAAATTGCAACAAAGACGAGATCAAGGATATTCTGGTCAACCCTGCCTGTGCCGCAACAGCATGGCCCGCGGCGCTTGAGACCTGCGCCGGTTACTCGTTCAGGGATCTCGAGGCGTGTTTGAGGGAACTCGCTCGTACACATTCACATGCCTCAAGTCAACCATACCAAGCTATTCCTGACAAGTACAAGAGCAATAAGTAAGTTTTAATCTTCAGACTTCATTGGAGAAAAATAAATTAAAAGTTCCTTTAACTTTCGATTTAATGCTAATATAAGTAATAATAAGTAATGATAATAAATAAAGTAAGGTTAATACTAAGTAATCATCGTCTGGACGGAAAGACGTCCACGCCTGGATATAGACTTCCCCCAAGGTTCGCCACAACAACCGGTCCTACGCTGCCCGCATCCAACGGCTTTCCGCGATCTTCTCCAGGTCGTCGGACCACCTTGTGGGGAGCCCACAGCGTTTTTCGTTACGCGGTCGCCACTCGATAATTTTTTGGCCAATCGTTTCGGCGAGAAACGTGCTCCCCCCAGCCTATTCAATGCGCCGGGCAATATCGGTGACCTGCATGGTTCATCAGCTGATCTCCTCATTCCTGATTCGATCACGCAGAGATACTCCGAGCATTGCCCTCTTCATTGCTCTTTGAGCCTTCTTATGAGGCCCATTGTGAGCGACCACGTCTCCGTGCTATAAGGCATTACGGGCAACATACACTGGTCAAAGACTTTTGTCTTGAGACATCGGTATTTTGAACGACAAAATGTCATGTAGCATGTGAACTCTGCTCAGCCCTCTTTCGAAGTTGGGCCTACCTAAATGGATAGTTTGTCTAAGGTACACGTAGTCGTCACCAACTTTGCGACACGGGAGTTCGACTAAATTTAAGTCTTAGCCATGTTCATTTTAAGACTCACTCATTTAAAGACCCTACTAAAGCCATAGAGCATTGTGCTAAGGTCTTCCATGGTTTCAGACATAACTGCTATATCATCAAGCAATTCAATAGGTGATGTACTCACCATTGATGTTGATGTCAAGTCCATTCCAGTTCAGACACTTGTAGACGTGTTCCAGTACCGCAGTGAACAGTTTCGATCAACATAGTTACTTTTAAAAAAAAACATTCTCAAACATGCATTAATTTTTTTATGTAACGATTCTGATATAATTTTCTACACATTGACTTCAAGATAATTAGATAACAATTTGAACATCCTTTCCAACGACTAAATCGTAATATGTGTCAATTTCATGATGCTTTTTTTAAATTGAAAATTTGTAACTGTTTTAGATTCGAGGCAGTGTCAATGATCGAACCACGTCCTATGTACCCCGTAGCGAAGTACCAGGCCCCGGCGCCAGCAAACGTAGCCGGCCGCCCGCCAGCACCAGACAACACCAGGAGCAGCTAGTACACCTCGAGACTTGACTTATTTGCGAACTAGAATAGTCAAATTGACCTAATCGGTAGGGTGGGTAACAGAAATGCAAAGCGTTCACCTCGGTAATAAGTAGTAACACGTGATTTTCGTGCCTTTTGCTAAATTACTAAGTGATAATACTTTTAATCACATATTCAGTCTACTGTGATCTTATTCAGTACCTTTGCACTGTACCTAAACAGGATAGCGATTCAAGCACACTACATATTGTCATTGTTAATAGCAATAAAGTAATCTTCGTGATTTTAATGTTATTTGCTCAATCCGGTTATTTCTTTTGCATCTTTTACACAGTTACTATACTATAGAAAGTACAAACAATAGACCAAAATCATGGCCAGACGAAAATTTTATTTTTTTGTTGTATTATATGGCCAAAGATGTACATAATAGTAACACATACAATCTTACAATTCATAATGACTGTTTGCCTTGATAATTAATATAAGTATTGGATTATTTTTGTACTGGTTTTTAATCCCCAATGTCAATTATTATACAGGGTCCCTACCATAACTGGGTTATTAATCCACATGAACAAATTTATAACATCATCAATGTTTACAAAAAAAAACCCTTTATGAAATACTAAAATATGCTTTCATGAATTCTCTTATCGTTTTGTCAATTAAAGGTGAGTCCAGTATCTACTTAACAGTATGTTATATTCCTAAGACTTGATTGCATTTTTTATCCTAATATCAATAACAATGTGACCAATACTGTATAAGTGATTGGGATATTTTGTAAGTTGTTACGCTAGTTTTAGATTTAACAGTTTCCTATGGAAATGAAAAAGAAAATCGACTTTGGTTAGCATGTCAGATCTATTGATAAACGACGAATGTTTTGTAAGCATCCAATGCGAGCATAGGCGTGAGTTATTAAGTTATTGTCATATTACAAACTTACTTGTACAAATCCATTCTTACCCAAACGGTATCTACAGATAATACCCCTACGACCTACAATCGAAACTCACCCAGACCGTTATTTCTATGTATAACTAAATGTGTAGGTTCTATTTTACGTGTTCTGCCTTACTGTGTTCATTGCCTTTGTAGATTGTCTTCCGCTATATACCGATTTTTGCCAGATTTATTTCTTCAGTTACATTGCCATCAGACAAAACAGTTTTCATTATTCGCAGAGATATTTAGGTAAATTTTACAGAGATTTTTGATGTTGATATTAAGAGATCTGCACATATTATAATTGAGTTCATTTACATATTACTCCATAATAGCATTTCCGTTTAATGTTTGTTAGTAAATTATTATTTTTGAGATGTAAGGTATGTTTTTAATATTGCTAAGTAGTTTTTAATGTAATTTAATATAATATAATCGATATTTTTCTCAAATTTCTTAAACGGAGGTAAGTACGAGTACCTTTATTGGTAATATAATATTTTCGAAATAAATTGAATGTTTTATTTAGTTACTCACTGACCAAAAATTCAGATTGTATGAAACCAAAAAAGTCTGGCTTCTAATAAATTCTAAGTCTTGGATCTAAAATCTGAAGCCCATAATTGTTTTCACCATTTGTGCCAAAAAAAAAAATATATAAAACAGTAACTCAATAACTGACGGCTTGTCCTTATGGTGCGCAGGCAGATCTAGATCGATTCCAAAATTGGCCTACGACACAGTTATTACGAAAATCTTATTTGTAATAGTGTTTGGATGCATATGACCTAAAAAAAACATGATTTAGACTTTGATATTTTGAGAGACATTTTGTTATCTAATGTTGGTATGGGCACTTATTATAACAAAGTAGGGAAGAGTAGTTGCATTTCTGCTGAATTTCATTGAGAGCGGATTTAATATTAAACGGTTTTAATTAAATTGACCTGTTTGGGTCAAATCTAGTAAATAAAATTTTACGCCCTTCTTGACCGATTGATCTGGAACTTGGTACACATATTGAGTTCTGATTACAATACAATAATATAATAGATTCAGTTTCATTATTAGTGCAAGATGGCGGCCACTATAAAATGGATTACATATTTTTTTCAACTATAGGTATCAAATGAAAAATCTTGACTAATACAATCGAAACATTTTTACTATCTAATCACTTTTATAGATCGAAGTCCCCGCAGCGTCTTTTTTTTTTTAACTACAACTCCCGCACTAGGAATAAATCCTGTGTCGCGGGGACTTTACAAACACACATGAAACTGACACAACAATCACCCAGACTCAGAACAACAATTTGTGGGTCACACAAAGTGCTGTCCCATGCGGGGATCGAACCCACAACACTCAGCGCTGTAGGAAGCGGTAAGGTGACCACTTTAACCATCGGTGCAGCCAGTCTGTCTCTATGAACGCGATAATCGTGTGCGTTACCCCAGCAAAATAATGTCGAAAATGGTCATTTAAACTTTATAGATAATTAGTTGCTCCCCTTCTGTAATTGTTAAGCACATTTTTAAATTTGTTTCACTTAAACTTTTTTAGTTATTTCAAAAAAACATTTCCTGCTGGGGTAACGTTTGAAACGTTACCGCAGCCAGACATTTTCTTTTTTAATTGTAATATTGAAATAAATTTTAGCTAAATAATTAGTTATCTGGACTAGGTAAATGTTACAACTTATTTGGTATTTGTATTTTCTTCGGGTGCGAAGTTATTCGAAATCCTGCTGGAGTAACGTTTGTGGGTTTGCTGGATCTCTGAAACGGGTAAGCGGATTGTAACCATCTTTTGTACATAACTTCTTAAGGATTAGTTTTAATTTGTTCGACAATAAAATAACAAAAATAATGGACCGTTTAAAAATTATTTAGGTAAGTATGAAAACACTTCAATACGTCCTAACACTTTAAATAAGACCTCTAAAGACTTACTTGAAACGTTATTCTATTGCTTGTAACCACCTTCAAATGTATACGAATTTTCGTAAGAATACTGTAAGTGACTATAAAGTTATGATGAAATGTAGCTCTCCACGTTCACGATCACAATGTGTGCGGCCTTTTTTTGCCACCGATAAACCTGTGTGTGGATATATAAACTGAATGTTATGCCAATAATTAGTTGTTTAGTTCAGTTGTCTACCTGTAAAATTTCAGCGTAGTACATATAATAATTTACGAGATAATTAAATAAAAGTCATTAGAAGGTGCAAGACCGTGGTAACCCGACCATGTTTAGGTGGTTACAAAAAAGCGATCACCCAGTACATTGTGCTGGCTTTTAAAATATGTAGGATATTATTTGCAAGTTTACTACGGATATGTACATAAGTGTTACAAAAAACTACATGTTTATTAAATAATTTTTATTTAGGATTGTTTATTGCATAATTAGTAATCAGCCGGGAGATTAGGTATTGTTTTGAATGCTTTTGTTTTCTCGTAATGTTTAGGTGAATTGTTTATAGTTGTTCATAGAATTGGTACCTGCGTAGTATTTGTTAATTGAAGTTTAATTTTAGGGTAGGTATAGGTAATTTAAGTTTTGAAGAGTGTAACGTATGCGTTGTAAATAGGTATTTTGTGAATAGATGGGGATTTTTTTAAGTGATGAATCGACTTAGGCTAGCATATCGCGAACAAACTCTGTATTGCATTATTTATGTAATAATGTTGGAGAAAATAAAACATTTGATCACAAAATCGCGGTGAGTTAAATTATAATGAAATAAATTATTTATGTAAAATTAGTAATAAGTGATATACCTTCGATTCGATGATATATAATCGTTTTTAATTTGTTCACCCTGAACGAAATTTCAATATTAGCATTAGTAATTAATATCCTAAGACAAGAATTGACAATTACTTAAATTGAATCGAATTAGCATTAATGCCTATTATTAGTAATTAGGTACACACATAATGAAGAACTCTCAAGAATACGATAAATATTTGCAAAAATAGAAAGCGGAAGCGCACACGTACTTTACAACACGTATATCATCTGCCTAAGGGTCAAGTTTAGTGCACTAGATGCAAATTGCAAACAATGAAGTATCCCTTTGCCCCTCCCCTCCCGCGTTCTAGCGAAGGATGTATTATCAGCGATTCTTGATTGACAAATATTATCTGACCAATAATTTTATCTATAAAAATGTATCACTTTCACTCGATAAATTAAATTACCGTTCATCATCATCATCTGCCTACCCTTTTCCCAATTTTATTTGGGGTCGGCGCAGTATGTATGATTTTTCCATTCTACTCTGTCATGCGTCATCTCACTGTTTACTCCCTTGCTAGCCATATCCTCCCTCACGCAGTCCATCCACCTTTTCTTCGGTCTGCCTCTTCTCTTATACCCTTCAACTCTCATACCTAAAACTTTCTTCGCCACATTTTCCTCATCCCTCCGCATGACATGTCCATACCAAGATAACCTATTACTTCTTAACTTTTCATCCAGTGGCGCTACTTTCAGACTCCCTCGTATATACTCATTCCTAACCTTGTCCATCCGAGTCACACCACACATCCATCTCAGCATTCGCATTTCGGCTACGTTCAGGCGTCTCTCATCCGTTCTCTTAATGGGCCAACTTTCAGAACCATACAGTACGGCAGGTCTGATAATAGTTTTATAAATTTGTCCCTTCAGTTTTAAGGGGAAACTGGGGTCACAAGTTGTTCCCGTTACCTGCCGCCACTTCATCCATCCCGTATTGATTCGATGCTGTACAGTTCGATCAATCTCACCATCACATTGTAAGAGGGAGCCGAGGTACTTGAAATTGGAGCAGACTGTTATCGCTATCCCATCCAGCGAAATGGTTTCAGGACTGGAGAGACCGCCGAAATCGCAGAACATGTACTCAGTTTTGGTTCTGCTGATTTTCAAGCCAACATTCTCCAGCCTTTGTTGCCATTTTTCCAGTCTGCTCTGGACCTCAACCCCATCCTCACCGACCAACACAATGTCATCTGCAAATAGCATGCACCAAGGTGCCTCCTCCTGTATGTCCGATGTCAGAGCATC